AAAATTGGCGGTGTGTCCTACTTCCTGACAGTTGCAACATTTAACTGCATCAAGTCTTTTGGCAGGGTAATCAGAAGTCTTATGTGTTCCTGCACATGCAAGGTTGAAATTAAGAACATGGTAAATTAATTCATTTAGCGCAATTTCATTTCACAGGTATTGTTCTGTTATCGGGAGCAGGGTCGTAGCCAAATGTTTCGCTAAACTCGCCAAGAAACTGGTTCTACAATAGGGAATTCGTGGATGACTAAGGCAAATCAGCTTACGAGGAAGAGCAAGAAAACACCCATGCAACCAGGCCGTTTGCCGGCATTCTAAACCCGGACCGAACTATCAGCGTACAGCGACTTTCCCTCTCGTTCGTTGGTGGGTTCGACATCGTGAGTTGCAGCGCAATTATTTTGGCGAATTACTGCTTAGTCTTATCAGCACTTTTTGTGACGTTTAGCGGGGTAGAAAAATCAGAAAGAATAGAAAAGTCTTTCAATCTTTAACTTTCGATTTTTTTGAAGAGGGGGTATATGAGTCTACTTATTTAAATATATTGATAAGTAAACTTCTAGCTGAAATTCCGAAGTTGAAAAGCGTAAATATACCCAATATTTCGTTAGGTAAGGCTTTTTTCCGATTTTTTAAAATTTCAAGACACAGTTTGAGCACCAAGATAAATATGTTCTTCAAAATGAAATATGAACTAATAAAATATAAACTAATAAACTAATAAAATATAAACTAACGTTTTTTAAAAATTAGATATATAAGGAGTTTTGTGTGCATCGGTGTATTCATGAGTTTCATTTATTATATTTTATATTTATTACTATCTTCGTGTTTTATTTCAGTCAGCATTTACTCAAACGTTTTCAACAATTCATGCAAAAAGTATATATCTGGTTGTAACGAAAGTTTTCCGCCGATAAACAGTCTTAACAAAGTTAAACAAAATCATGAAAAAACGTTACCTTTAGTACGGGTAGAGTAATCACCATCCAAATCTAACTTTTTTGCCAACGTTTTGGTAGTTTTCCAAAGCCTTGGACCCAGAAACTTTGTGGCAGCGAGTCCAAAAGCAGAGCAACCTCATTTCGGACGTCTTGTGCAGAATGGAAAATAGCACCAACAAGATGTAGCTGCTGGCAAGAAAAAATGTCGAAGTCCGAAAGAGTGATGTCGAGGCTATAGGATGGGTGTGGCAAAAGATCCCATTCGAATCCATACAGAGTCCAGCCGGTGAATGCAGACAAATGAGGTCTTGCATTATCTTGATAGAACATTACCCTTTTTTTTTTTTCGCCGAAACTCAGTTCAACGTTTTTCCTCGATAGCAACGTCAAAACGGACTAACATCTCGCTGTAAAACATACTGTCGAGGATTTCACCTTTTTCCAGATATTCTTTGTGGATGGCTGATATGGCAATCCCACCAGATACAAAGCATAATCTTTTTGTTAGTCAAATGGCGCTTCGCGATGCTGCCGACGGGCTCCCCGGGTGCAGGCCAACCCCCTTTTTCGGCCTGTATTGTTGAAATAAATTCAATTTTCATCACAAGTGATGATCCGGTCCAGAATTTTGTTCTTGTGGTGATATACGAGCAGATTAGTGCAGGCCCGAACATGCCTGTCCTTTTCTGCTTGAGTCAGCTCATGTGGCACCCAACGATTGACTTGTACGTCAAGTTTATGCGATGCATAACGCAACTAATAGACATGGCACAAAGTCTAACTCCTTAGCAAGATCTCGAGTAATTGCATACTGATGTTCTCCCAGGTGAGCCTCATCAACATCAGTAGGTGGCCAGAGCGCTGTGTTTCTAGAATGTCCTTCTTTTTGAACTTTCGGTACCAAACCTTCACAGTATCGTATGATACAATATTTGTATCTAAAGCTGTACACATGATTTGGTGACATTTTGTAGCTGTCGTTTTGCAACAGAACTGGAAGTAAATGATGGTTCTAATCTGGTAGCGTGATAATTCCATTTCTGATACCTTGCATTTAATGACAACGATATTATTTTACAAATTTCACAAAACATTGTTCTAAAGCAAGTGTCTTTCTTTCAAATGCCAAACATCATTTGACAAAATAACATTAAACACGCCAGCGCGAACTGTTTGCGCAGACGATATTTGCAGTGGCGCGAATCTTTCGTTAAAACTCGATATTATTGCTATCACAACTTAAAACCTTTGATGGCTGACGTCAGAAAAGAAATCATTTTATTGTTGAAAGATGTCTCATTTTGTAGATATATTTGTGCTGTTCAAATAATACACATTTCACGTGCCCTAATTACGAATTAAATATATAGCAAAGAAGAAATGATAAAAAAATATATATGTTACGGTGAAACACCGAAATCTGGAGAATGTCGACTTTCACCGGTGAATGTCAACATTCACATAGTCTCTTGGTGCATGTCCGAAATATTTTCCAAATACTCTTATTTCTGACTTACACCGGTCAATGTCGACATTCACCATGCACTAATGGTGAATGTTGAACATATAACAATATATTTTCTTCTCCGTAATTCAGTCGCGAATAAATGCATTTGAGACATACACCGGTCAATGTCGACATTCACCATGCACTAATGGTGAATGTTGAACATATAACAATATATTTTCTTCTCCGTAATTCAGTCGCGAATAAATGCACTTGAGACTTGAAATAAGAACTTAAGAACATGAGAACCTAAAACACACAATACATTCAAAATGAGAAAGGAAAATAATAGAAGTTAAAAACTTAATTATATAGTACGTTCTAAATGAGAAAATAAAATAACAGTAATAAAAAACTTACTAAATTATGTGATTCAAATCTTATTTATTGCAACAACTTAAACTATTATGGCACTTTATGACCTCTCTTTTCGACCTACACCAGAGCATATCTGTGATCGTCGACATACTCCGGTGAGGTTCCGAAAATACAAGAATGTAGTGCAATATTCGATCTTTCTCCAACGTATTTGGTGAATGTTAACATTCTCCGGTGAAAGTCGACATTCTACAATTTCGATCTTTCACGGTAACATATATATTATACAAGAGCTTGTAGAGACATTAGGAAATTTGGAAGCAGGCAAGATGAAAAATTAGCAATCGCCTTCTCCAGGAATCGAACCACGGATCTCTGAAATACCGGCTCAGTATACCAAGAGGGTACGCTAGGAAGGTGGGAGAAATACTTTATAAGCTTACCAAATTGATTCGAATCTCATGTTTAAGAATTGTAAATAAATGTAATGCATTTCCCAAACATAAATTCAACTTCGACAGCAGTTGATTGGTGTGTAAATGTATATTAGTAACTAATAACAATTCTGAGTTAGAATGAGTAAAGTGTTGGAAATGACAACTTTTAGAACTAAGATTCTAAATTTCGGGAAACTTTAAGTGGCATTTCGTAAAGCAGTGAAGGTTTACTAATTCAGAAGTCAAACAACAAAAATCAGCGTTATATTTTCAATTTTGAAAATAAAACGCTGATTTTTGTTGTTTGACTTCTGTATTAGTATTTGTTCGGCGTGTTGTGTCTTAATCAGTGAAGGTTTTCTAAGTATAAATATTGTAAATTATTCTGCTCATCTAGAAATACATAATTACAAAACATTTAACTCCTGCACACAGGCAAACTATATGTTTTATGTATTGGTAAAACTTTCAGAATTCAGAATTCAGAAAAATTCCGGGGACCATATTTCAACGAAAATATCCATTTTGACTGCTATCGAATGCTATTTAACGATGGTTTTGCGTGGTGTATGTAAATAACGACAGAATAAAGGACTCTTTTTCCCCAAAAGAATTATAAAACTGATTTAAAACGGATTCAGAAGATATTTTTTCGTGGCGTCTGTACGTACGTACCTATGCATGTATCTCGCATAACTCAAAAAGAAGTAGCCTCAGAACGTTGAAATTTTGTATATAGCACTTCTATAAGATGTAGTTTGTGCACCTCCTTTTTTGGTTGCAATCAGCCTCACTTTAAAAGTATATAAATTTATATATATTTATGTATACCCACTCTAGTACTCAGATCTTGAGCTCAGTATTTTATTGTTATATGTTGGTAAATTGTGCGTTTTATACTTTAAAAATGATTATGTTGTTCTTATCTTCCCGGTTCAGGTTTTTATGCCTTTAGTTAATCTGCAAGCAATAGTTGTAGAATTATCAGTAATTTAAAAGTCGCCTAAATGCGGCTAAGCCTTTTTTTTTAACCGTAGCAGCCATATTGGCTTACATTTGAAACTTAGCAGAATAGCGAATTAATTCTGCAACTTGAATGTTTTTTTGCCGAGTGGAACCAATAGTAAACTTTCAGTTTTGAGTACCGAAAAATCTGTCTTGTTGTTGCTTTTGCGTAGAAACTAATTTTTGTTGTAATTTTTTTTAAATTGTGTTATCTGTATTTGGTGTTTTATGTTTTTCTATATTTTTCAAATTTTAATGACGATATTTTAAGGTTTTATGTATTTTTGCCTTGCCGCTAAGTGAGAACTGGATTGAATAAGAAATATATATCTACTGAAATTCGAGGAAACGCGTTTAACGAAATGCAGGAAACAATGCGTATAATTTAATATTCCGTACAAGGAAGTCATGTGGTGTACACGTCAGCTTTTCTTTTAATTGATAACGCAGTGGTATTTTGATAATGATATTGAGATGTTTTTACATTAAAAATTGAACCTTTTACAGTATAAATTGAACCTGATCGACATTGAATGATTTTCAGTTAATGAAAATTCAATATCAGTTCCTTGCAGTTGATATGGAGAAACTCGGCTGTTTCTAACCTAATGGAAACCTTCATACAGATGTTTGGTCCTTGCTTTAATTAATTCTCATGTTGATGAATGTCTTCTAATTTTCATGAGAAAAGTAGGTTTTTTTTTTTTTTTAACTTATGTATGCGATTTAAATAGTTCAAAAGTTGCATGGAAAATGCAACCAATTGTGAAACAAATTCAAACAACTCAGTTTTGAAACAATAATAAACTTTATATTTGATTCGAATATTCTACATTATAGGTAACAACAATAAATAACTTTTTTTTTTGCTCAGTTTGACTAGCAGCATCGTTCTTAGAACGATGAACATATATTTTAGTCAAGCAAAAATATAACATCTCTAGGATATTATATAACAGAATAAGTAAGACATTGCAGAAATGAGACCACAAATATTATTTTACAGGCTCTAAATTTAAGCTAACAACAATGAAATATTTCGTTTACAATTTTGCAGCATTTAAAAAAAAAACAGAATTCTTTTAAAGTTTCATTATTAATAGAATCTCTGTGTATAAGGCATCAGGTGAGAAAGTGGTAGTTTTTAAGCAAACATATAATATTATTGTTAGCATTTTATGCTTTGCTTTGAAATATTTTCCAAATTGAAATATGTTCCGCTAAATTCTAAAAAACTCTTCCGCGTTTACTATTCTCTTTTCCTCCTTTGATTTACATATAAATGTAAATTTTTTTATGCGCACAGACATTCAGTTGACTTAATATACTCAAAACAATTATGTTAGAGAGGTAACATAATAAAATTGACTACTTACGCTTTAAGGTTAGTTTAATAAAATGATACGAAATTATTTTAGTTCAATAAATCTCTATTTCATAAACAATAATTGAAGCCCTGTTAAGTAAAAATTACTAAATCCTACTAATTTCAACCATATTTGAGGAAAATGTTTAATTTACATAAATACTAAGATAGGAAAGCATGGAGGCTATCAAACTTTCGCAAATAATGAGTCAAACGGAAATTTACAGTATTAACCTGGATAAAAACAGACAGACAGTCTGCTTTATGAATTGCTAAAATTGAAACCACATGCAATGTTTGCAAGTATGAAACTACCAGATTAATGTTTAATTCTAATTTCAACAGAACATACAATTAAATTATTTTACTATATTATGTAACAAATTCTACAGCCTAATCACAAGGAATGTTACAGCATTCTCAAGCTCAGCAGTATGCATCACAAAATTTTATATTTCCCTCTTTATAGATATATATATATTTATATATATTTCATTTATGTATATATAACGATTTTAACATTTAAAAACGCATATTTTCTTTACTAAAGATTTTCAAAGAAGTTTTGATATGTTATAACTATGAAATAACCATTAAAATTAATTTGAAACATTAAAAAAACACATTTAAAAATTAAAAAAGGGTCTAATACTCCTTATACTTAGCAAAATGTTTAAAAGAATAGAAACAAATTACTCATTCAAACTCCAACTTTCTTTGCAAACGTATTAAACAAATATTATTGCACAGTAATAAAATATACACTTAATTTTACATCGACTATTTTTTGAAAACCTATCAGCATTAGAACTTTCCGAAAGAATTCTTTTGACATTATTAAGAGAAATAAAGTGAATTTGTATTAAGTTTTGTACGACTCATTCTTCCACACTTACATACACATAATTAATTTAATGACAGTGCCTCTGTATATAATAAACAGTTGCGTATTCTTTTGCCTGAAGTAATTGTTTTACAAAACTTTGAAAATTCAAAATGTTTTAATTAGCAGGGGAAGTAAAAAAATTAATTTGGCGGGAGAGAAAGTAATTTTTGCTTCACTAGTTAAAAAGTTTTCTGATATGAAAATCTAAATGGCAACTTTTTTTAGATTTTCATATTCCACATGAAACAAATCTTTAAAAATCATAAATTACACGAATTATGTTTCAACAAAACAATATTTAGAAAACGTCAAGAAGTAACTAAATTACAAAGGAATAAAATTATTGCGTAAAAAATCGATGGTTGTAGATGCATGAATCTTCCGGTATTACCCGAATCATCATGCAAACATGTTTCTTTATCGTATAAAATGCATTTGACGAAAAATACGATTTAAAATATTTTAAAACAACTCAAATGAGTGAAATAATGATATAATACTTAAAACTAAAATGAAAATAATGAATAAAAAATTCATTGCTTCGATCAATGAAGATGAAATGGCTGATAGTTTAAATAGTTAAAAAACATTCCTTGATACATATTTTCACGTATCACAAACAACAATGTAAGTCAAAGATGCAAGTGAGTTCACGAAACTAGATAAAATTGTTAACAATAGTTCACACACACAAAACGTTTCTTTTAACTATTAAATGCCATTCTAATACTTCAAAAATGAACTGCCTTAATTAATTACAGATCAACTTTTGCTTAAGAAACAGTGAATCATAACTGAAATACCCAAAAAATATAAAATAATAATACATAGCACATAAAATTACAAAAATGCAAGATATTTTTCATCATGCATATAAGTAAGAAAAAGAAGAGAAACATCTTCAAGATCTAGAGCATCAGAATGAAACTTTGAGAGCACATGTGACACAGAAACTTAATTGTGTTCCCTTCCTTTCCCCTGAGGAAAAAATTGTCACATGACCATAAAGACAACAATAACATACATGTAATATATACATAAGCAACTTTCAGGAATTAATTGCATAAAATCCAACACTGTCATCAGAATATCTCACAGTAAATATCATAAATTTTGTGCTAATCAATCATGGCTCATCGAGATTCAACAATGTTCTTACGCTGGCAGTTGCTCCAGAAGATGCAAAGCCTCTACACCATCGGCTGAGAGTGTTATAGATTTCAGAACACATATGGCACAAATTACGACTAGATCTATGTGAAGATTTTAAAAAATACATCACAGAGCATTTTAAGTACGTTTTTATCAAAGGTAGTGTCGTCTACACAAAGCTGGCAATGCACAGCGAATACTCATAATGTGCTTAATTATATTCTTTGCATGGAATACTTGCAGTTTTTTTGATAATAAGGTGACAGAATGAAGATATGTTGCAAACGAAGCAAGAGTTTTTTGAAGTAAGTTCTTTTCTCTTCTTGGTACAATATACTCCGTTAATTATCACTTGAGTTTTTATCATTGGCAAGGTGCCAGTCCCACACAAAATATAGCACAAGATTCCGCAGACGATTTCCATCAGAAGTTCTAAACGATGTGAATTATGTGCCTTATATGGGTGATTGTTTCAGAAAACATCGCTCTCTACCACTTTAAAATTCATACTCTTAGCGTTTTATGCTTTTCTGCAAGTTTCTAAATATAGTCCGTAAAATCACATAGTAGAAGTAGTAGTTGTTTTTACGAGGGGCAAAACCAGATTTTGGATATATTAAGCGTATTATATATACTGTGCATGTAAGAAAACAGTCAAAAAGTTGACTATTTCCTTAATGACGAAAAAATTTATATTAATTAACATGTATGCATATTTTTTCATTCAAGTATATTACTGGAAATTAAATGTATGGATTTGCAAAAAATGAATTACTTCAGGAGATAAAATTATAAAGATGTTATGATTTTATACATAGGTGGAAAATCAAAGTTTGTAGCTTGCGTCAATCAATCAAAAAATTTAAAAAGGCTGCTGCTATTGAAGAATATGTACCTTAATTTTACCTTAATTACTAAAACTGTATACCGCTCGGATATGTAATAGAAAATAAATTATGCAATTTGTGAAAAGTGACAACTGCATTATTGAAGATACCACAAAACAAGAGTATTTTTTCTACCTGAAAATTAAAGGAATTTTAATCTGATTTTGCCATATTTTACAATAGATTACAACTTTCTATATATGTAAATAAATAAGCTTCCAACGATGGTTACACATACGTTTAAAATTGCACACTTTTCATGTGATAACAATAAAGTATTGCACATTATTTTTGGTAATTTTCACTTCAGAATCATTCTAATAGATGAAACATATTGCGTAGTGCAGAAGGCAAAGAGCTGGCAAATATAACAGGCCTTAATGGAGACCGAATTTATTATTTAATTAAAACCAAGTATCTAGGCAAGTCAGCCTAAATAGTAATCTCTAAATAGCATACATTTTATTTTTCATTTTGATCACTTAATAATTTAATATCTCGCTTTGTCTTGTGTGGTTTTATACAGAAGTAAATTTAATTGCTTTTTTATTTGCAAATTTTGGAATGATACTTCCAGCTGTTTTTATATTCGATGTCGATAGAAGCACAGACGATATCTGAAAAAGCTAATTATTTTTAAGTGTTGCCGGATTCCATAAATACTTGCAGTTACGGTACGATACAGTATTAGATCAACCAAGTACATATGCAGTGTTTTCGGGATTCTTTGCTGTCACTACTAATTACTAAATAATTAAAATGATTCGAGTGATCTTCGCGTTTCGGTTGTTAAAGAGGGTTTATAGGGTTTATTTCATAATTTAAGGTGATTAATGCATTAATATCAGATATTCTGAATTTTAAAAGACTATAAAAATACCAGCATAGTTTAATTTATTAATTAGTGAAATGATTTAATATATTAAATGCACATTTTTGTGCCGTGGTTGACATAAATGGAGAAGATGAATGATCAATAACGTGCAATCTTAATTTCCGTAAATAATATAATATCGAATTATAAATTAAATAAAAAATGCAAGTTGTATTTATTTATTATAAAGATAATTTATATTGCATAATGTCACCTATCAAATGTCTGATGATAAAGAATCCATAAAAAATGTTTTTACTTAAAAAAAAAACTTTGGTAATGCTAATTTCGTAATACATAAAGATGTATTTAGCAGCAAAAATTTATCCAGTTTGGCAGCTTAAGTTAAGAACAAACGGGAAATAGAAAAAATCACAAATTTTGGATACGGGTTTCAGTTAAATAACTCGATCATTATATACTATTAAGATCAGAAGTGCATAAAAAAGATGTGTGTAAATGTTTTAAATAAAGAAATGCAAAACCATGAATTCAAGGAATTTAAGGTAGATTAGTAAATCAGCCAGCCCTAAGCCTTTCACTACATAAAATTCACATGACAGAGCTCGAAATGCAACAGGTAATATTTTTACTTAAATGAAGAACATAAATTACATCACGGAATGTTTTAACTGATGTCATCATAAATAATTATTGTACCTAACACCACCTAAAATTATTGCATTCCGCTTTTTAAGCTGGTTTTTAAGCTTTTTTCCCTCATTAAATTTATTTTGTACAGAAAAAAAAAGGAAGGAAAATATAAGAAACAAAAAACTCCTCTATTCAATGAAATATTGAACCAATAAATTGAAATATTGAATACATCAGTATCAATATAAATACTCCTGTATTCAAAGAAAAATTCGTTGAGTATTATTATTTTATTTTTCTGAAATGCCTGGATTCATCTTCAGGGAAGCATCAAAAATGAAAATACATGAATTTACAGTTAATGAATTTATTTTAACAGTGAACAAATTTATCTTTACAGTGAATAGATTTATCTTTACAGTGAGTGAATTTATCTTTAATGAAAGAATTTATCTTTACAGAGAATGAATTTATCTATAGTGAAAGAATTTATCTTTAGTGAATGAATTTACGAATTTATCTTTACAGTGAATGAATTTACCTTTTTAACATATTTCATTTCGAGCACTGTTTCCAATACTTTGTAATAAACATTTAACAGATACATAACATGAATAAATCTTAGAAATAAAACATTAAGCGTTCTTTGGTGAAAGTCACAAGAAGTGCAGTTTTAGTTTTAGTTTTAGTTTTTTTTTAATCCACGGTTCACAAGCGCTATCTTCGTGGAAAGAAAAACGACAAATTCTTTGTCAGGAAAGCTACGTATTGTTCTACTTGCAACTTCTCTAGCACTAAAACACGATTTGACTTGGTCTACTGCGCGAAGATCGACAGAGTTCTCCGCTTTCATACAGGGTGGACCATTCGCAGGGTGCGAAAGTTTTCTAGATGAGGGGTCATGCCCTCACACAGGCGGGGCCTAGATCATTTAGATGGGCGGGCCCTTTCCTGCGGACGGGTCATGCCGTGAGGATTTTCGCACCCTGCTAGCCACCCCGAGCTTCAGGCAAAACAAACAGGCGGGCTGCGATGGCCCGATTTCCTTTTTCCTCTAGAAGGACGTGTAGATGTTCTCCACCAAGGGCGGTTCAGGAACAAGGTCCTCTAGCCTTAAGTAGAAGATGCGTTGCAGACCCTGGGCACTAAGTGACCGCAATTCTGGGAGCTGTGCTAGGATCCGACTGAAGTAATGCCTTTTCTTCTGTGCTTCGTTGTTGTAGGTCACGTGGTCGCGTAGTGAGCTGGTTATTTTCGCCTGCAACTGCTCCACACGTTCAGGTTCTTTTAAACCATACCTTTCTGCAAATAAAATTTAAAAATGGATTAATTCTCCGGTAGCATAACTAACATTTAAAATGCATATTAATTTCTTACATATGAGGGGATTTTAGGATATTGGAACATTAAGTTTACAATTGACTAAGTTTAATTCCCAAAGAATGAAGTGAACTAACGTAAATTAAATAACGAATTGTTATTTGAATTATAGCTTAGGTAAAAATAACACGCCGAACAAATATTAATTTAGAAGTCAAACAACTTCTCTGATGCCCAACATTGTTGGTCCGAAAACCACGCTTTCCAATTTTCTGCCGCCAAAATTATTAAAAAAAAATCTTTCATTGGTGAATTAGATTTTCTAGAGGCGTTTCACATTCAAAACATCTCTCTGTTCCAGATAAAGACACTAATTCCAATCTATCTCCAGCCTTTAAGGAAATTAAGTTTTAGTTTTTTTGTTTGATCAATAGATGGCGCCAGTAGCTTAACTCCTGTCCAGCCATTCTTAACTTATCTCGTTCATTTGCTCTTTGGCAGCTGACGTCGATGGTTCGGTAAAACCATCGAAACTAGTACCGTAAAAATTTGCAAATATAACGCTGATTTTTGTTATTTGAGTCCTAAATTAATATATGAGGTATAACTATTACTAATAATGAAATATTAACCATGATAAACGATCCTTGTTAGGACAGGTGTATTATAACGTTTTAGATGGATGTATTACAATGGCAGATGTACTATAACGTTAGAATTTTTTTATGTTTTATAGGAAATTCATAACGATGCAGTGTTGAGCCAACTAAACTGCAGTCGTTACTCATCATGATGCTATTAAGGATCCCTTAGGCACTAATCATCTTAGATCACTTAGATCACTAATCTGGGTTACCAATTGGGTCACCATGGTCACCCATTTGGGAGGTCGGTATAAGTATTTAAAATCATGACTCCATTGATATTTAAATATTTATTTATTTATTTAACAGTTAAAAGTACACCAAGGAAACATATCATCATAGTACAAACTCAAAGCTTAAATATGTAATAACTGTTGTTCCGAGCTTATCGTTACTATTGCAACTCGTTACGATGCGATGAATTTAATTGTTGCCACAGTGGTAAACAAAGCGTTTGGTTCATTATGGCAAAGCACTCGAGGGCTACCTGCCTGAGGGAAGGGATCCTTCGTGAAGGACTTTCTAAAAGAAGCTGGCTCGTATACACGTTACCCATGGAGGAAACCAACGAACGTGTTTGGGGCAGCGATTTATTTTCCCAGCCACGCTTTTGATTTTTCTTTACTGAATTACGTTATGAAACTTGCATCAACACGTTTATCATCAGCTGTTTTACTATTCGATGATATCTGTCCAGAGGATCACTATATCTGTTACCCCACATTAAAAAGATTTACAGCTAACATCACTATGATACAGTTTCCCGGATATAAAACATTATGCAAAACTGTAGCACCAAGGACTACTTCTGCGTTACTATGCAGAACACTGGTTCCAGACCATGAAATGCTGGGAACCCCTGCTCAACGTGGTAGCATTCTAAGATTGTTTAAAAAGTACACGCGACACCGGTACACGTGCAAAACATATTACCTGCTTATGCACTGAGAACACATTTGCAGCGCATGTAGTTTATGTGAATCGTATTTTGCAACTTCATGTGCGCTAGCTAATTCTATAGTGCCTTCCGTAGTGGTTCTGTGTTTGTGCCCTGCTTATTTATCTTCTGTCATTATTAAATAGTGAGTATTCTAATGAACAGGACTTGTAATTTACTCGGACTCTAAAGCTGCCCTAGAGGCAACACTACAAGGCCATTCAAGACTCATCCAGGATGTACAGCAACACCTAGAAACAATCAGCCAGATAGGAAAGACATGCACTGTGCAATGGATACCTGCACATGCTGGAATCGATGGAAACTGGCTAAAAACGCAAGAAATCTCAACAACTCAGTCCCAGTCACTCTCAAAGAGGCTAATGCCATTGCCAGATATAGACTCAAAGAGAAATCTATTAAGAAAGACCATCCGATATGTGATATTGATGTAAACCGAGAATTTACAAAGACAATTACTAGATTGAGAACCTGCCACTGTAGAGGAAGGAAAATTAATGAAGATGATACCAGATCATATAGAACTTGTACAAACTGCCCGAAACGGATCTTTCTCCAGAACACATCTTCACCCGTTCGTCAATACTTGCAGCTCTGCAAAGGTTGGGAGAGTTTCTTTTCCAGGAAGAGATGTATAGTGAAAAGATTGTGGAACTGGCAAAACTGTGATTTCCATGCATGGATCCATTTGACTTCTCAAAGGACACGACACCGACCAACCAACTGTGATCCATCTTTCCAGGTTCAGTTTCTTAAATTATTATTAACGTTCATGATGTCAAAGAAGAAAATGGAATAAAGAATATATGAAGTTGCACCGGAACAACTGAAAGCGTGCGTACCCGAATGCATACTTTGTGGCGCATGCTACGAAAGCATGCTAAGGAGGCGGGAGAAATCTTATAATTTGTGAGCATTTATTCATTCTGTTGCTTTTATGATAATCTCAGATTATTCTTAAACACTTTTAAAGATCTGTTCCTCGCAAGAAATATATGTTTTGAGGAGATTTAAATGTGAGATTTAAAGTTATTTTTAAACTCTATAAACGTAATTCCAATAAATTATGGTGGAAATATTCCTCAAAATACAAACGCAACAAGTCAGAAAAAAAAAGCATTAAAATAGGAAAGTCGTCAATGTATGAACATTTTTAGTTTTGAAATCATAACCAAACTGCCGAACGAAAGTCTCTTTTTATCTCTCTCTCTATATACGAGTATAAAGAATAAAGTCTGTGTGTTTGTTCGCGATTAACTCAGTCACAACTATACCTATCGTCACCAAACCTTCCACAATTCTTTTCTGGGTCCTGGGAAAGGTCGACGTCCACTCTTTTCCGTAAAAAAGTAGTTAAATCAGAGATATTATTTAAAAACTCTGGAAACACTCATTTTCGCCCTCATTTTTCCGAGCGGCAACAGTCTCGCAAGCTGGAGATAAAAATCTCCTTTATTTCGAGAAGTGTTGCCACTGCTCGCTTCCAAATCATAGAGTTTGTTAATAAAAATTCCTTAAGTTTTACAATGAAATAAAAATAGCATTGCCAAACGTTAAATACATCATTCCCGATTCCAAAAATTCGTGGGAAGCCATTTGGACTATTCCCATCTTCGTACGACTTTAATCAGCCGAGATATTAATGAAAAACTCCGAAAACACTAACTTCCGCACTCATTTTCCCGAGTGGCAACAGTCTCCCGCGTTGGAGATAAAAATGCTTTATTCCGAAAAGTGCTCGCTTTCAAATCGTAGAGTTTGTTAATCAAAAATTTGTAAGCTTTACGAAAGCTATCTATATATAATATATATATAAAGAAGAATGTCTGTGTGTGTGTTTGTTCGCGTTATTAATTTCTGATCAATTCTGATCCATTTTTTGCCACATTTCATCGACTCAAATTGAATCTAGGTGAAATATTGGATGGAACTGGAGCTTTTACGACCATTTGATTAGAAAGACGAAAATCATTAAAAACTTCGTGCCACTGTTGCTGATAAAATGAGCGAATATGATTTTTCTATCGAAATTTTTTATGTGGGTTCATATCGCATCAGATTGAAAAATGCGTAACAATATTTTGCATCATTATTAGAGAAGGATTACAGCGGTATCGTTTTCTTTGTTGTTAGATACGTTCCTCTCAAGCTAACTTAACTGGCATCGGGTACTTCTGTTAGTACTGTAAAAAATGCAGTCGGAAAATTAAAAATTTATCATTTTTGGAATTCCTGCTTTTATGGCAAATAAAACTAGCAATTTAAAAACCTTCTGCAAAATTAATTCAGTCTTAAATTAAAATTAGTTAGAAAATCCTATTGTAAATAATTTATCTGCCCTAGTTCCGTAGAAAGTCTCCAGAGGAAAAAAAGATATAGTAGCGCATGTCATTCTTACCTATCACAAGGCTCAAAGCACAAAGGCAAGCAAAGGCAGAGATGTCGATGTCCATCTTGTGCAAACTTCTGGAGAAATCGAAAATACTGTTGAGCCAGTCGCCAAATATCTGCTGGCATTGCTCACGGCTAAGAACTGTACCATTGCAGAAAGTCACTTTTTCATCATCTGGGTGCATCCTATAAAAATAATAAAAAATATTAATTTGATTGATATTTAAATTACAATCAAAGGATTTCAACAATAATTAAAAAACTACCTTCGGTAAATAAATAAATAAAAATGTAAAGAAAAAATCTGAAAGCTTTCAGATTTTATATTAAGTCAAAAAGGGCGCTTTTTTAACGTTTTGTGCGTTACCTTTACTTATTAAATATCATGTTCTTCTCACTTAAAACCACATAAAATTCAATTCAACAGCAATATCATAAAATATTTAAAAACAGCATATCTTTAGAATTTCCGATACACAACCTCGCGCGCTGGAGATAAAAATGTTTTTTTTTTTTTCCCGGACAGTGTTGCCATTGCTCGCTTTAAAATCGCTGTGTTTGTTAATAAAAAAAATTCTTTAATGTTTTACAAAATATCAAATAGATGATAAATTAAATTTCACATTCCAAAATTGGGTTTCCAGATGCCCATATTCGAATGGAGGAATACGCTAGTCAAAATTTGATGTCTAGAGGTACCGTTGTTTTTGCTGCCGTTGGATTTGATATTGCCATTGGTCGCTTTGAAATCGTTGACTTTGTTAATCAAAAATTTATTTTACAAAATTTTAGTTTTTACAAGTTTACAAAAAAAGTTTTACAAAATTTTAAATAGATAATAAAACAAATTCGAATGTCAAAATTCGGGCTTCCAAGTACCCATGTTCGGTTGGAGGACTACGTTATTCAAAATTGGATGGCTCTAGGTGTCGTTTTACATTAATAATGTTACGAATTTCGTTCTTAGATAGTTAATTTTAGTAGAATTATAATTAAAATTGTTGTATTTCCCCGTGCAATGTAGCGCGAGACAAATTTTAAGAGAAGGCTATGCCAGAAAAGTAACAGTATAGGGGCAGGTGCGTTTAACATTGAATACATGGTATTCTCGGTAATTTGTATTGAAATTGAATAAATGTAATTGACCTCTGTGTTAGCTGTAACCGTAATCCACTCTCGTACTAAAAGTATCTTGCGACCAGCTGAAAACTATAAAAGGCTGGCAGACAGCGTGTGTGTTCAATTGCTTAGTTACTGTTGTTGCGAGTTGTTTAGTTCCGCGTGAACTGAGACATCCAGTTAACTTTCTCTTCAGATGAGCTTTGCATTGCATTGTGTTTAACGTTTTTAGTAGTTTGAAGTGTAAACTACTGCTAATACTACGTGATATCGTGAACATTTGTACGAATATCTCTCAGTAAAATTCCAGAATTCTGATATATATAATAGCATAAATTTTGTTAATCTATTATCGGACTTGGTCATTCAAACTATTAAGAACCCGTACTATTATTTTTGATTCATTTACTTAAGTTTTAGCACAACTATATGGAAACGTTCTGATGTTTTACCATATATATCAAAGGAGCGATATGCTCTGAAGTATAGAGGAGGTCCTGCAGTTTCTACTGAATTTTTTTCTGACATATTAAAGTAAACATAGAGCTACCGTATAGGATAGAGAGAAGGAATTAAAGGTTTTGGTTTGGTCAATGGGATTACGGCAAAACTCGAGGGCTATATGCCAAAGGGGAGGGAGGCCTTCGTGGAGAACGTTTTAAAAAACATGGAAAAAACTACGAAGACACTCATGCAGACAGCCCGTTCGCGAGATTCGAACCTCGAAACGAACTACCAGTGTTCAGTGATTTTACCGCTCGGCCGCTGGTGGGCCGGAATTAAAGGGAATCAGTCACGGGGTTCCTTATGAGCTTCTGATGGAAAGGGACTCACTGGCCAAGTTCTAGACTGCACTGACAGAAACATTCTATACCTATATTCCAAAATTCTATACTTTCCACCTATGCAGGTACGTAAGGCTTATAAAAGGAACGGATTCTTCTAGATTTTACTGTGTGGATTCGTTCCGTCTGCAGCCAACCATACCTGTTGGCTTTAACTTTTATTTTAAACTCCCATTTTATTACCAGTTCGCAATAGTACCGCCAATAATTCAAAATGCTGCCCAACCGGTATAGTGGTTAGCGTCGCTGACTGCCCTGCCGAAGGTTTCGGGTTCGAATCCCGCAGACGGCATGTATGTTTGTAGATGTATAGTGTCGGTGCGGCATGGCGGCACTCTAAATATACGGCGAGCCGAGAGACTTCTCGTATGGTTTGATGGAAGGGGTGAAAGACCCTCGTACTCGTCTTCCCTCTCCATCAAAATTGCGGGCGGAACTTAGCCAAATCGCACTGTCACCTGTAAGGTGCTCAAGGCTGTTGCCAACGACAGGCTAAAATTTGCGCTCCTTGCCACGAGGAATTCCGTGGGCTTGGGCTGATGTTACTGTCAGACAAGTGAGTATAAATAACAACAACAACATCATTCAGAATTCTAATATTTAGCACGTGTACGGTAAGAACCCGTAAGGATTCCATCTCTGCCTAGACAGCTCTCATTTCATTCTGCTGCCGTCATCCTCTACCACTTTAAAATAGAAGAGTATATTATGGCATATCATTTAAAATTAATTCTAAATAATATAAATCTGAAGAGGAAATTGTGATTTACGCAGTTTTTCTCCGATATCCCTAACGGTGTTTCGTTCACACAAAGAGGATTAATGCAGCAGACGCATAAGCAATGACCCGGTCTTTAAAGTAATTTTAAACAAATAATCATTCTCTGAAATTAGAAACTTATCTTTAATTTCTTCTAAAAATAAAGAGAATAGCTGGGATTTCCCAACTTACCGGTACGCAAGTCTAAGAGAAAACAGTTCTAAACTGGCAGAATGGAAAAGTAATTCTTGGTCATCTTTATTCAGATCTGTGAAACCAGGGATTTTATCGGCAAACTGGCGGATTACATCGATAGATGAGACTAATAGGTCATAAAATTGTTGAATCTGTTCAGCTGTTGTAGAGGGTTCCTGCTTCCAGACACCTGTTTCTTTGTACTACAAGAAAGAACGGAACATCATCAGATGACTGTTGCTACTTTTATAATATTACACAACAAATAAATCATAGTTTCGAATCTGTTATGCAAATTTTATTCCCTTTGGGTGTTTAAAAATTTAGAAAATGTGGATTTAGATCGACGAAACGAAATAAATTACACTTAAATGTTTTTAATTTATCGTAATAGTGGATATTAAGAAAAATTATGTACGGTATATTTTGATTTTATAACAGTTACTTTAATTTAAAAGTGCTTTCCTATCAATTCTTGTTTCCACTTACCAGAATGGGTTTTTAGAATCGCGTTGAATGCAAATGAGTTAGAAGCAGTATTTAAGCAAGGTTCAACTTACTTCGTGAGAGAGAGCTAGGAATCTTCAGTAACGCGCGTTTGCCTTCGGGTTAAGACTCTCTTGAAGTTGTTACGCGCGGCCGTACATTACGTGCCTTTTCATACATTATTAAATTAAGTGCTAACTACGTTAGACAGTTGTGTTAGCTTCGGGTACGTCTCTTATTTAGTTCTTATTTCATATTCTGAGTTCCAGCCCGAGTGGAGGCTTTGATGTAAGCCCGAGAAAGGGGCCAACTTTTCCATCTTATTTTGAGTGAAATAAAGAGTAGTTAACCCTTCTTGAGTTTACGACTTTAGATATTTGAAGTCAGCGATAAGTCGCTTTACAGATAACTAGGTTCCTCGACATTTACTTTAGCCAAAAAGAGAACTCTAAAAAGTTTAGTTAAAGTTTTAAAAATGATATTTTTTAAAAACGTTTATTGCATTTTTGAGAATACAATGTATTTAAACTTTTTCAGCATAATATTCCGAGAACTAAGGAAAGTAGAAACATGTAACGCGATATAACCGATTCTATGCGAGATTGAATTTTCTTTTTTAAATGTTGAAGCATTTTAATGTTTTCCGCAATACGTCATCCTTAAATATATGAAAGTATTTTTTTTTTTTTTTTTTTTTTGAAAAATTCCAAACTAATTTCGAATTACATTCTCAAGAAGCTAAAATTCGAATGCACAGCCAAGACAAGCGAACCTCGACGTTAATTCAGCTTCATGTTGTAAAGTAATAAAATAAATAATTAGCAACTTCTCAACTCTACCACAACAGAGATTTAACTATTATGTGAGACAGCAACTGTAGAAATGAATTTAAAGCCATTTTTGCACTGATGATAAATTGTGGTTCTTTAAAACTACAGTTTCATTACGATCAGTACAATTACGTAAAAGAAATGTATATCTAAATATGAATAATTACTTGTTGCCATTCAGAATAAAAAAATATAAATATTAACAAAACGTTATAACTAAAGCAAAGAATTTCACGGAAATTTTTCGTTAAGGAAATTCTTGTAATTTACATTATTGCAAGCTCTAATAAAACCATGGCATTTAAATCTTACGCATTTATAATGGCATTATTATGAACTGCAGTTTCGAGATCAAATAACAAAGATAGAAATTCAAATGGAATTCGCAACATTCGCATACAGGCAGAGCTACGCATTTAAAGTAATTACTCTGTACAAAGGTTATAAAACATATTACTCACTTGAGAGTAATCGAGGTTGGCCAGATCAGGAGTAGTGTCCACGTGAGCTCGGACCAGAGCGGTGATGGTGCTGACCGGCGGCGATGGGGGTGACTCTTGAGGAGATTTGGGTTTTGAAGGCAGCCGGCCTCGTCTTCCCTTCAAACTATCCGTTCTCACAACTGAAATTTAAAAGAAAGCCTCAGCTGTTGCGCTTTTCAATAAACAAGAATGAGACAAAAGCATTAAGACAGAATAAATTAATTTCTATTTTCATTACAGTTTTTCGTATATCCTGAATGACTTCGAAATACGTTTCAGTATTATTTGTAAATACATGAGCTCAGAACAACGCGTCCAAAATAATTCTAGTCGCGTTCACTGACGCAAGAGCTCTTCCGTGTTATCCAATAGAACTGCGTAGTTTTCGACATGAAAGACATACTAGTGTGATCTTAGGCGTGGCGCCATCTATTATAGATCGGAGGTATTAGAATATTTATTAATTGTTTCTTAATAATTGCAAAATTCTCATGTTTTAAAAATTTCTTGATTTTGACTTGAAAAATCCATCGAATAGATTTGTAGCCTTGTCTACTGATGTTCAAACTAAATTATGATTTGGAACAGCAAAAATTACAAACAAATAGCGAAGTTTATTGCTTCTATTTTTCAGTTATCAAAACGAGCTTCTACTAGAATAACAAACAACATTCGAAAACCAAAGAAATCATGAATCATTATTCGCTGCCATTCAGCGCAAAAGAAATATATACATAAATATGAATAATTACTTGCTGCCATTCAGCATAAAAAAATATAAGTATTAGCAAAACGTTAAAGTTAATTTTATGAAATAATTAAACGCAAGCAAAATTATAAAATTCTTGAAATTAAAAATAATTATTACTCATGCAAATAACTGGACCACTATAGATTAATGTTTAAATTATTTCCTGCAATATCTTACAAAATGCAATAATTTCAGCAATATTTTATAAGTAGCTTAAAGATTGAATCTCAGAATGCAAAGTATAAATATTTAAAGGCTAACATTGCATATTAAAGGTAAGAAAAAAACACATGAGAAGTCATTTTATGAATTTTTCAGAACTAAACGAAGTCCGATTATCCGAACATGGATTACATGATTAGCGATCTAAACTCGCTAAAACTTGTTTAGAGAGATGTTACGAAGACTTCTGAAAAAATCTCGGAAGTAAGGTATAAGTCTGATTAGCGTAATTTTCCGACTACAGTCTTCAATAATTTAGCTCCTAGATAACTAAGATTTCTATTCATTATTATTACTGTATTTATCTAGTATACTCGCAAGTAAAGTCTAAATAAAGAAGGATTGTTTTACAATTAAAAAAAAACTGAAATCCAAATGGTCTTCACTACGGATTATATTGTTGAAAGATCAATAATCGTAGATATTGGTCATCGTCTGTTATAATTATTTTTCTGCTAGCTTATCTAGAAAAATTAATATCGAAAACTTTAAGTGGGTGATGGAAAGCTAATTCTTGGAAATAAATGTTGGCACAAGTTAAAATAAACCCAGTAATGTTCAGGAATAAACGGTTAACTTAGAGCAAAAATATTTTAAACATGGAAATTCAATATCGAATCTATTTTGGTCCCGTTCAGTTCGGATAACGGAGAAATTTATAAAACTAGTTTATTGAGTTCTGTAATCTTCATGTACGTATGAACTTTCGTACTTAACATAAACCTAAATTATATTTTAAGAATTATGAAAATTTTCGATTTTCCTCACAGGCACAAGAGAAGGCATTCTGACCATTTCATCTGACATTTTGTATCTATAACGATGTGGAAGAGAAGATAGTTTTCTTGCTTCCGGAAGAGATAGACTGTTACTTTAATTTACTTTCTGATCGTAGTAAAATGCAGATTTCTTCAAATTAATATTTAATTTACATAAATTTTTATCTAGGATTCAGAAAATTGTCTCACCTTCTTTCACCATACCGACAGCAAGACATTTTTGAAATCTGCAGAATTGGCAACGATTTCGACGTCTTTTGTCCACAGGACAATCCCTGTTACCTAAGCAAACATACTTTGCGTTTTTCTGAACTGTCCTCTGGAAAGAGAGTAGAAAGAAGGTCAATATACAAGCATTTAGCCCTATATTAATTAATAAAAAATTTTTTATCCTTACCAACACTTTGTTTCTGTTAAAGCTTTGTTGTATGTAACACAAACATTATACTTACAAAAACATCAGAATTGTTATCAGTTTACATATTGTTATGCTATTTTACAAAAGCAATAAACATCTTTCGAATATTATATTTTATCTTAGAGCAACAGCAGTTTATAATTTTCAAGCATTTACGAATTATGATAACATTTTCATTTCTTTTGTAATACGTTGTTATCAAGATAATAAATATTAAAAAAAAACGTTGTTATCAGGGTAATAAATATTTTAGACTACATAGAACATTTTACCAGTCACTAATTTTTCTCCTTTCAGAAATTATACTCCCAGATAAATATTCTGCATTATAATAATTACATCACATACTATATGCGGAGTGATAATTTAAAAAATCACTCAGAAATTAGATAAATATTCTGCACTCTAATAATTACATATTGCATAATACTATATGCAAAGTGATAATCTAAAACACCACTCAGAAATCAGATAAATATTCTGCATTATAATAATTACATATTGCATAATATATGGACAAATGTTTAAGTATGTGACACCTTTCCTTTTTAGTGCTCCTAGCTTCTGAATTGATATGCGAGTTTTGATAAAGTGATCCCTTCAAAGGCATGTAAAAACATTCCACTGCAGATTCCCTTCAAAATATTTCTATAAATCCATTTAACTTTCAGAATAGAAAACCATAAAAGGGAAGTAGCGTTTTATAGCTATTTTCTAAAATGCCACCCAAATATAAGACTTTTCGTGGCAGAAATAATAAATTTCATTTGAGTTTTCTTGAACGTAGGTCAGCATATCACACAAAGGGAGTTCAGGTGAAAAAATTTTAATTTCAACGATTCAAAAAAAAAAAAAAAAAAAAAAAAAAAAAAAAAAATTAACTAACTGTTAATTACACGTCACTGAGAGAAAAGTACATATAGTTGTTCACATAGCTGAGAAGAAAAACGTCCCCGAAGCTTTCAGATCTTTAAAAGGAATTTGTATACACTTAAAAAATGTGAAAAGAAGACAATTCTTTTATAAATTCTAGCAGAAAACATAGTACCTAAATTCTGTAGCTCTCACAAAGTAGTTAACTAGATGATGAAAATCCAAAATTGCTCCGAAACTTTATTTAGCCCATGAACTGCCAAATTTTTTTTCTCAATTTACATTTATTTCTGGGTGTTTACTTTGACACAGAAACTAGAAATTGGGATATAAATGGAATGTAGATGAAATCTGCCATGAGTCCCAAATGGGGATCTGCACTAATGTAGCCCCTCACCGGAAAATAAAATTCACATTGACAATAAACAGTTAGCAAATATATTCTAAAACCATTTGAGAACACGGCATACAGAGGAGTTGGAAATGATGTACATAATAATATGACATAGCGTGTTTCATAAACGTTGAAACCGCGAAACTCACAAAAATGTTACTTCTTCTCCCAAATAATACTCTCCAGCTCACTTATTTAACAAGTACTACTCAACAACTCATGCAAAAGCTTGAGGAAGGTTTAAACAACAATGTAAAAAAGTAAACATTGTTGGCAATTTAATTAAAGTTACTAAATTTCCACTACTAAGACATACGGGAATCATGGCAGTTAATAAATTTTCTTTCTCTATTTGTGTATTATCAAAATAAAATGTAGATAACTTTTGAAAAAAGTTCTTCTGTTTTAACATTTTCATTTATAATTAAATCAAAAACTCAATTAAATAACTCAACTATGCCAATTTTTAAAATAATATGATTTTCGAGCTACTGTTTCTGCGCAAAATTAGTACAGCATAAATACGAAAATTTACATTACACTTTTAAATCGAAGCATATAGCAACAGGAATTTCAAAACAATATAACAACCGCTATTGAGAAAATGACTTTTCTGCTAAAGCAACAGAAAATACTGCAGTGTCAGAATTATTCCGTCTTACGTTCTTCTCGGTAATATTATTTCTATAAACATTGTTAATAATATTGTTACGAATTTGGTATTTAAAAAGCTAATATTAGTTCAATTATAAATTAATTGGTTTTATTTCTCGCGCAGTGCAGCGCGTGACGAATATTAAAAGAAAGCTAAGCCGGAAAATTGAAAATACAAGAGCGCATGCATTAAATAAATAAATATCTCTTTTTGATTTCGAGAAAGTACTGGAAAATTCTAGCGCGTGATTTTAAAATCTTATAAAAGGAGGAAAACATCTCAGTTTGTAGTAGTTGCTTAGTTTTTGTTGTTGTTTAGAAAACTACTGTTTGTTGATTGTAGCGAATTCGCGGATTAGCGTTCTTTAGCTGTTTTGAATTACGTTCTATTGGACATTTGAGTAGTTAAAAGAAAACTACTGTGAGATATTGTAATACTGCGTGATAATTTGAGAAATTTAAGCATTTTTTGTTGTGATAATAATAAATTTTTGTTCATTTTTCATCGGACTTGTGCATTCATTTAGTAACGAATCCGTACGCACGCAACAAATTTTGGTGTCAGAAGTGGGATTTGAATGCCAATAACAAGAGCGATGGAAGAGCAGTTAAGGCAATTGATAACAGCCTTTGCCTCGTTTAAAGAAGAAATGAAAGAAGAGATGAAATCTAGCCAAGGAAAGATGGAAGGGGCCGTCAACTCTGTTAAGGACGAAATGAAAGCCGTTCAAGCTGGTCAAGAAAAGATTGAAGCAGGTCAAGAAGAAATGAAAAGAGAGATTACCTGCATAATAGAAAATAAATTTGAACCTATGGAAGGCAGAATTGACACAGTTGAAAATAAAGTTGGACTAATTGAAGAAAGAGTTTCTTCGGTGAAAGAAGAAATAGAAGAAAGAGTTTCTTCTGTAAAAGAACATATAGAAGGGAGAGTTTCTGCTGTGGAGGAACGAATTGAAGGAAGAGTTTGTGCCGTCCAACTCCAAATCGAACAACAAATTGATGAGAGAGTTTCTGAAGTTGCCAAAGAAATGGATACTTTAAAGAAATTCGTAGCGTCGGCAGGGAGCAGGAGTGATGATTTTAAATTCTTACCAATGCCTGCTCGTCCACCTCTGAAGCTATCCACATATGATGGGAAGACCTCCTGGCAGGTGTATAAGACACAATTTTCTATCGTGGCGGATGCGAATGGATGGGATTCCCAAGCTAAGGCCTGTCATCTCGCCGCTTCTCTAAGAGCCGACGCAGCGGATATCCTTCAGACTCTTCCCGAAAACAAAAGGTTAGATTTCGAAGCTCTGTCCGGCGCCTTGGAGTTGCGCTTTGGGGAGAAGTGTTTAAAAGACTACAGCAGGCTCCAATTAAAATCTCGTCAACAGAAGCCTACCGAAACACTTTAGGAGCTCGCCGCGGATGTTGAAAGGCTGTCCCATCTCGCCTTTTCGGAATGCCCGACAGAAACAAGGGAAATCCTGTCCTTGCAATACTTTATCGACGGCATCCGAGATACTGAAATACAGAAAGCTCTACGAATGGCGGATGTAAAAAGATTTAAAAAGTGCTCTAGTGTACGCCATGAAATTTGAGGCAGCCCAGCAAGCCACTCGTCGAGACCGCCACCCAGTCAGAGCTGCTCAAGTCCAGGAGCCAGGGGATCAAGTCACCGCTCGACTTGACGATTTAACTAGACAACTGAACGCCTTGAGACGGAATATTGGTGAGAAGAAACCGACCGTTAAGTGCTGGAACTGCGGTGCTGAAGGACACATACGAAGAAACTGCAGAAAACACCCAGGGCACTGGATGTTAAGACCGCTTCCTAACAAGCAGCAGGGAAACTAATTAGTGGCCATCTCGCGGGGCGGAGGTTGCCAGATAATGAAAAGCCCCAGTTTAAAGCGCTTCAGATTTCTGCAGTGAGAGGCGGCAGTAATGGACTTTTCATAATAGGACATATTAATGGAGTTCCCTGCAATATGAACATAGATACAGGAGCCAACGTTACTATCATCCAAAAAGATTTGGCTCAACAACTAGGAAGCAAACTTATCTGGACGCCGCCCTGCGTTACCCTCCAGACTGTGTCCGGTGAGAAGATCGACATCGATGGAAAAGTAAATGTTAACATCACGTTTGGAAGTGCCGCTTACCATCACACGGCATATGTAGCAGAGATCACTGATTCTTGCATACTCGGATTGGACTTTCTAAGGAAATACAATTTTTCCTTGGATTTTAAAAATAACGAATTGCATTCTACATCTGAGGACATAGCGTTATTTTCTCGTTAATGATGAAGAAGTTAAATCTGTCCATAAAATCATAGCACAAGACTATATCACAATACCGGCAAGAACAGAAATTTTACTTCCTGGATCCATAGCCGAAAATAGAAATTTCCGCTACGGCATCATAGAATATCCCAATAACTGTAATATCCCAAAAGGAGTACTAGTAGCCTCAACACTCGTCGACCTATCCAGAACGGTTATCCCGGTGAGAGTCGCCAATGTAACTGAAAAGTCGAGAGTTATTAAGAAAGGTGAAGTGGTTGCAACATGTACTCCAGTAACCAGCGTTGAAAGAAAGAGTAACATCCAGAATCCGTGTCCTCAGAGAGCATTACATCGGAGTTATTGCAGAATGCGCAATTAAACGATGAAGAGAAAAATGCTGCCGATCGCGTCATTAAAGATCTTCAAGTGTTTTTTCTCCCGCTCGTCTTCTGAACTGGCGTGGGTCGAACTAGTTTGACACAACATAGAATAGATACCGGCGATCATCCCCGATCAAGCAACATCCAAGACGTCTTACCGTTTGCTAAACAGGAAGAGGTGCGAACACTGTTAAAAGGATATGGAAGAAGGCGATGTCATCGAGCCTTCAGCGAAGTCCATGGGCATCTCCCATCGTTCTAGTCAGAAAGAAAGACGGCTCAACAAGATTTTGCGTTGACTATCGCCGGTTGAATGAGGTTACGAAGAAAGACAGTTACCCTCTTCCTAGAATTGATGACATTCTAGACACTCTTTCTGGAAGCAAGTGGTTTCTCAACACTTGATTTAAAGAGTGGGTATTGGCAGGTAGAAATCCATCCTGATGACCGAGAAAAAGACGGCATTTACTACGGGACAAGGACTTTGGCAGTTCAAAGTGATGCCGTTTGGACTGTGTAATGCGCCGGCAACATTCGAACGTCTTATGGAGACTGTTTTGAAAGGCCTTTCCTACGAAGCCTGTCTGATATACCTGGACGATATCATCATCATCGGAAAGAGTTTTGAAGAGCATCTAGAAAATCTAAGAAAGGTGCTTCAGAAACTGAAAGAGGCCAATCTGAAGCTGACTCCCGCTAAATGCAAATTGTTTTCGAAAGGAAGTGACTTACCTGGGACATGTCATCTCTGCAGAAGGTGTGCGCACGGATCCTGAAAAGGTATCAGCGGTTAAATCCTGGACGCGTCCCGAAAATGTCCATCAGCTGAGAAGCTTCCTAGGGCTTTGCACCTACTATAGGAGATTCGTGAAGACTTTTCTTCCATCGCAAGACCACTTCACAAGCTGACAGAGAGCAAGCAAAGATTCTTGTGGACAAAGGAATGCGAGGATGCATTTAACAACTTAAAGGAAGCTTTAACATCTGCTCCAATCCTGACGTATCCTCAGCTCGACAGACCATTTATTCTCGACACCGACGCGAGCAATGAAAGTGTCAGTGCTGTTTTGTCCCAAGAAATAGACGGCCAAGAACGTGTAGTAGCTTACTGGAGAAAGTGCCTGTCTAAACCGGAGAGGAATTACTGTGTCACAAGGAAAGAGTTGCTCGCCATAGTCAAAGCTGTAGAACATTTCCATCATTATCTATACGGGAGAAAATTCCTCCTCCGCACGGACCATGCCTCATTGGCCTGGCTTTTAAATTTCAAAAATCCTGAGGGTCAAATAGCCAGTGGATACAGAGACTCCAAGAATATGACATCGCTATCCGTCATCGTGTAAGGGATCATCACACGGGAACGCCGACGCCCTGTCTTAGAAGACCTTGCCAAGAAAGCTGCCGATATTGTTCCAGGGTGGAAGCGAAATACGAGCTGCTGACTCCGGTCGCAAGACAAATTACAACATCAAACATCGGCTGATCGAAGACCCGTGGAGTGATGATGAAGGTCAGGAAAGACCAGCTGGAAGACCGCGACATTAAAACCCATACTTGATTTAATAGAGTCATCAAACAGAAAACCTACATGGCAGGACATTTCTATCTGTAGTCCTACAACAAAACAATACTGGGCACTCTGAGATTCACTTCACATTCGAAACGGCGTCTTATACCGGAAATTCGAGTCGGATGATGGGAAGACGTTCCGATGGCAACTGATACTTCCAAGATCCCGGATTCCTGATGTCCTCAAAGAACTACATAACAGCCCTACAGGAGGTCACTTTGGAATTATGAAGATCTTACAGAGAGTTCGTGAGCGCTTTTACTGGAATAATGCAAAGAATGACGTGCAAAAGTGGTGCCGATCTTGCGATGCCTGTGCAGGTCGAAAAGGACCGAGGAAACGCAGCCGAGGCAGACTGCAACGTTACAACGTAGGTGCGCCTTTTGAACGTATCGCCTTTGACATCCTGGGACCTCTGACACGAACTGCTGATGGCAACAAATACATACTCGTTGTCATTGATTACTTCACCCAAGTGGCCTGAAGCTTATCCTATTCCTGATCAAGAGGCAGTCACAGTAGCTGAGGTAAATGACAGCACTGGATTTCCAGGTTCGGAGTGCCTCTTCAGTTACATTCCGATCAGGAAGGAATTTTGCCTCGGCAGTAATCAAAGAACTATGCAAACTACTTAGCATTGACAAAACTCAAACGACGCCATTGCATCCCCAGTCGGACGGCATGGTAGAGAGGTTCAATCGAACCATCCTTAATAACCTCTCATTAGTGGTTTCCAGAAACCAACAGGACTGGGACAAGAAATTACCGCTCTTTTTACTGGCTTACCGCAGTGCTGTCCACGAGACTACCGGCTATTCTCCATCACAAATGCTCTTCGGTCGTGATCTTCGTCTGTCTTGTGATCTATTGTTTGGCCGCCCTCCGGATGCTCCTTCATCGTCTGAGGAATATATTCAAGATCTCCAGGCCCGGTTTGAAGTGATGCACAACTTTGCACGAGAGCGAGTCAACTTGGCGATGGAGAAGATGAAGACCCGATACGACACAAGAGCTACTGAACATCAATTCCACGAAGGAGACAAGGTGTGGTTGTGGAATCCGACTCGACGGAAAGGACTTTGTCCGAAATTACAGTCACCATTGGGATGGTCCCGTGTACACAGTCCTAAACAGGCTGAATGACGTCGTGGTTCGGATTCCGTAAGTCATCGGAACTCTAAACCTAAAGTCGTTCATTACGACAGGTTAGCACATTACTACCACCTGGCCACAGTAGTAGTGTAAATAATTTATGTAAATATGTATGTAGTGTAAATATAGTAGTGTAAGTAATTCCACAGTATGTAGTGTAAATAATTTTAAATAGTATAAGACCATTTTGTCCTTTTAAATGTGTCTTTGATTGATTTGTATTTGTATTTGATTTGCATTTAGTATTTGATTGAATTTGATAGCATTTGATTTGTTTTATGTTATTATTGCATTTATTGTTCATGTTGTTTATTATTGTAATGTAATGCTTATTAATGCATTTATGCCACAATTGTAAATTTAGCTTCCTGTCCAGGGATTGTACTGCCCGGGACGTGCAGTCCTTGGGAAGGGGGCAGTGTTACGAATTTGGTATTTAAAAAGCTAATATTAGTTCAATTATAAATTAATTGGTTTTATTTCTCGCGCAGTGCAGCGCGTGACGAATATTAAAAGAAAGCTAAGCCGGAAAATTGAAAATACAAGAGCGCATGCATTAAATAAATAAATATCTCTTTTTGATTTCGAGAAAGTACTGGAAAATTCTAGCGCGTGATTTTAAAATCTTATAAAAGGAGGAAAACATCTCAGTTTGTAGTAGTTGCTTAGTTTGTTGTTGTTTAGAAAACTACTGTTGTTGATTGTAGCGAATTCGCGGATTAGTTAGGCGTTCTTTAGCTGTTTGAATTACGTTCTATTGGACATTTGAGTAGTTAAAAGAAAACTACTGTGAGATATTGTAATACTGCGTGATAATTTGAGAAAATTTAAGCATTTTTGTTGTGATAATAATAAATTTTTGTTCATTTATCATCGGACTTGTGCATTCATTTAGTAACGAATCCGTACGCACGCAACAATATGATAAGTCTTAGAGAATGAGAAGAAGGGTTGAATTCAATTCAATTCATGAATAAGTTTACTGAAGATTCAAGCTGTCATAGTTACCTTGAAGAATCCTTTGCAACCTTCGCAAGTTCGAACACCGTAATGTTGACAAGCCGCGTTGTCACCGCAGACGGCACAAAGCATGGAGGGTGGAGGAGTGCTTTCCGGGGCACCGGGGGAAGATCGACTAGAACCTGATGTGCCACTCGGAGTAGTTGGTGTAGTAGGTGTTGGATGACGAATACTGCGAGGACAGAAATAAGAGTTAAAAATTTAGTGAGGTTAGAAAATATTACTTATTTAAGTTTTTTATTTCATTATAAGTTTACCACATGACTTCCTTGTACAGAATATTAAATTCTACGCACTTTTCCTGCATTTCATTTAAACTTATTTACTCGAATTTCACTAAAGATATATTTCTCATTCAATTAATTCAGTGCTCACTTCGTGGAAAGGTAAAAATGCAATAAAAACTAAAAATACCTTCATTAAAAATTGTAAAATGCAGAAAAACATAAAGCACTAAATAGAGTTAAAACGATTAAAACAACTTTTTTTACAATTAAATTTACAGGTTTTACGCAAAAACAAGCAATTCGGCCAGCAAGAAGGCAAATTTTTCGGTGCACAAAACTTAAAAAGTTTCCTTTTGGTCCCACTCGGCAAAAAGATACCGATGGTGCAGAAACTGAATTCACTATTCTGTAGAGTTTCAAATGTAAACAAGTATGGCTGTTGAGGTAAAAAAAATAGGCTTAGCCGCAATTAAACAACTTTCAAATTGTTGATAATTCTACAACTATTACATACAGATTAACTAAAGTCAAACCCTTAACCGGAAAATCAGAACAACATAATTCACTCATTTTTAAAGCAAAAAATGTCAAATTTATCACCATATAAGAATAAAAACAACTGAGGTCACGGAGCCGAGTAACACGAGTGGATATATACATACATATATTTATACGCTTTTATTGGCGTCGATTGCAACCAAAGAGGGAGATGCACAACGACATGTTATAGCTGTCCTATATACAAAATTTAAACGTTCTGAGGCTGCTCGTTTTTGAGTTATGCGAGATAAATGCATACATACGTACGTACAGACGCCACAAAAAATCTCTTCTGAATCCATTTTAAATCAATTTTATAATTCATTTGGGGGGAGGCGGAGAGAGTCCTTTATTCTGTCCTTACGTTCAGATGTTACGCTAAAACATCGTTAAATTTCATTCGATAGCGGTCAAAATGGGTATTTTTGTTGAAATAGGATACCCGGAATTTTTCGTGATTACAATACTTCGTACAAGGAAGTAAAAAAATAACAGAAGTGCTTGTATTGGTAGCAAAAAATAAATGAACAGTAAGTTAAACCTCAAGTAGAAAGGTAAACAAATAATGAAAAAAAAAAGTTTATCACAGAAATTTAAAACTGTAAAATACACAGAAAGAACACCAAAACGGTAGGCACTAAAATATTTTACGGTAGTTCATCAAGTACTTACCTCACTTCGGATGCGGATGTGCTGGAGAGAGTAAGTGAGGGCTTTTTACCGCTGCGGCCCGGTTTGGGACTGGGTGTTGGCGACGTCAGTTCGTGCAGTGTAAGTGACTGCTTTCCAAAAGGAGACAAACCCTCACTAGAAAGTACCGACACTCCTGAAAATGTTGTTGGGTATGGTGCTACTAATTGATGAAAGGATGGCTTGGAAGGTCCCCCCTCGGACGAAAAAGACGGGGCCATGAAGGACGAAGATGAGGGACCAGGACTGTCCAATGCAGGGGTAGCGGATGTTAGTGTCGTTATCGACGTGACGTCCTCTGATTGGGGGAAAGTAGCCATGGATATAGAGAACCTTTCGCCTTCTGCAAAGCAAAAATAAAAGTGATGTTGAAAGTTTCATGCAAATAACAGAGGCGAAATTTTGCCAGTCATCAAAAGATGTCTGCAAACTTGTCCATGAATAATAATAAACTATTAAAATAATACACTTCTAAGACTCAATAAACAGTTTCCCCCCTCTCTTTTCGTTCAAAATAAGGATATAGTTTTTTTTGACAATGAATTTAAAAAACTTTAGAAACGAATTTTTTCGAACTTAAAATATGAATCTAGGCTGATTATAGTATTAGCAGAACTATGTATAAAATCTATACATGATTATTTTATTTTAAATGTTCAGAAACTATTATTAAGTTTTCTTTCTTATGCATTTTGGGAAAAAAACCCATTGAGAATTAAGGTTTATTGTCAAAGTATTATATACGCAAAGCATAATCATTCAGTAAAAACAATTCATTCTTTCTCTGTATCCTTATGAATCGACGGTTTCTGTTCTTTACAGTTATTAATCTACAGCGTTTGCAATCATTTCTTAGGAGGTACTTGTCAAATTATTGCCAAACTATTATTTATACTATTATTTAGTACTATTATTTAATACATATTCAGAGGCAAAATCTTTTGAAAGATGGTAAAAAATCAAAGTGCAAGACAGAATATTTTGAAATTAAAAAAGGAGATATTCTCTCAGACAACTGGTTTCGTCTGGTTGATGTGATTATGGCAAAGCTTCAAAGGCTATCTGCCTAAGGAGAGGGATACTTTCGTGGAGAACTTTCTAAGGTAAAGTGTCTCGTATACACGTTACACATGAGGAAAACCACGAAACCGCCCAAGCAGACAGCCCGTTCGCGGGATTCGAGCCTGGGATCGCACTACCGGTGTTCAGCGACTTTACCGCTCGCCTATGGGCTTTTCTCAGACAACTGAAAATCATATATTTATAAACACAATACGATCATTTTAAGGAAGTGTTTTATTTTAAAAACAATTAAAAAATTACATAATAATAGCCATCACGTATTTTCTGTCACCGTTACTTCTCTAATATGGGATGAAAAAGTTATAAAATGAATTTAATAATTTTTACGTATAAATCGTAATCGCTTTTAACGCGGTTTGCGGCAAAATATTCAGGAAGGAGGGAAATTTAGTGGTCTGTCCCGTTTTTTGATGTGCAACGCAGAAAAAAAAAGAAGAAATAACGAAAACGGCGAAATGTTATGCAAAGAGGGATGGATTGCGCTTATAAAACGTGGCTAAAAACTGTGATTGCCATGTGACATACCAAACGTGACTAGTAAAGGTTATAAAGGTTTATAATCACTCACTCTACAGCAGGTATTGAAACTGACCACCCTCCTAGCATAGGCATAACCGAACTCGCCGTTCCATGTTGGCTACAACACTCCGCAATGTGTCGGCAGTGATGCCTGCAGTTTCCCTAGAAATGCTGCCCTATAACTCGTTCAGTGCCCGTGGTTTATCACGATATGCACGACCTTTCAGAATACCTCATAAGAAGAAATCTGGGGACGACAGATCTGGTGACAGCGGAGGACACAATCTTTGGAAATAATGTGGTTCCCAAAGACACTCCTGATCAAATCGATACTTTGCTTTGACGTGGGGCGAAACGTCAAACTGTCCTGGCTTTAACAGTATGCAAGCCCTCTTGTATTGAATTTCGCGGAATGTTAAGGTTTTCGTTATTTATTATGTCTTTCTTTTTTTGGCGTTGCTCACCAAAAACCGAGACGAATCACCCAGTTTTAATCCTTAAATCTTTTGCCACAAACCGCATTAAAATCGAATACCTTTCAACAAAACTACAGCCCAATGAAATAGGTCAGTTCTAAAAAGAATCACCCTGTAGTTTGGACTATAAAGGACTAAATTGCATACTTTAAAAAAATTACAAAATACATAAAAGCATATTTATATTCAACTTCATATTTGAAATAATTACCTATATCTTCTTCCATGGGTATCTCTTCCCCTGGAGAAAACTTCAACGAGAAGAAACCGGTAACGTCCGACCTCCTGTGAAAGTACGTTTCTTGGAAACTGGGCAAAGAAGCGATACCAGCAGATGTGGTGGTGGTAGGGGTTAGTTCTTCTGTAGAGGGAACACCGAAGGTGTCCTGCTGGAACATTTCTTGAAAGGTGCTCCCACTGCGGCTATCGCTTGTGGTGAAGAAGGGCTCCGAAGTAGTTCCCAACTCAAAGGAGGGCAATTTTAAGTCCTCCTCGATGAAGGCAACTTCATCCGGAAAAGGAATACTGAATTCGGGACTAGGAATGCTGCCACTGAACTGAGTGCTCTGAAAATTGAAGGGTCATCACAATCACTTGAGATAATAATAATGTTTATGTTATTATTATCAATTCTGAGACTTCAGTTCTTAATTTATAACATTTTTATTAGAAGTAAGTAAGATGTAAAGTGCAAGAGCATGTAGAAGAAGTTAAGTGTTATTAAGTATGTAGAAGAAGTGTTATTAAGTATGTAGAAGAAGTTAAGTGTTATTAAGTACCTAGAGTATGTAGAAGAAGTTAAGTGTTATTAAGTATGTAGAAGAAGTGTTATTAAGTATGTAGAAGAAGTTAAGTGTTACTAAGTATGCAGAAGAAGTTAAGTGTTATTAAGTACGTATAGTATGTAGAAGAAGTTTGTTATTAAGTATGTAGAAGTTAAGTGTTATTAAGTATGTAGAGTATGTAGAAGAAGTTAAGTGTTATTAAGTATGTAGAAGAAGTTAAGTGTTATTAAATACGTAGAGTATATAGAAGACGTTAAGTGTTTATTATCTTACACACATTTTTGTACATCGAGAATTGCATTCAGTTATTTCATTTTTCTACAAGATACTGCATCCTTTATCAGAAAAGTTCCAGGACAATTGATATGTATTACATGACCTTGGCCATGTTTCCACGCAAACTTACTACGACGTAGGGCTGTGCTTAGCAACACACTTTTCGGATTGTTATCGTATTCGTTAAGGTGACACAATGGATGCTGATTGTGATCAAACAGTGAACATTAAGTTCTGCTTAAAGCTCGGGAAAACCCCTAGTAAGACGTGGAAAATGATTAGGCAAGCATATGCAGGCGAGGCACTTTTAAGGAGTCGTGTTTTCGAGTGGCATGAAAGGTTTCGTGAAGGCAGAGATTCAATGCAAGACGATCCCAGAGCTGAACGTCTAAGCGTCTAAGCAAACGTGGAGCGTATAAGGCAGTTATTGCACTAAGAACGTCGTGTAACTGTGCGTGTGTGTGTGCAAAAGAACTAAACCTAAATCGTGATGTGTGTCATTCGATTTTACGCGAAGATTTAAGGAAACGAAAACTTAATGCAAGAATCATCCCTCACTCACTAACAGATGAGCAGAAAGAGGATAGACTAAGAGTTCTGCTGAACTATTGGATAGAGCCAGACGTGATCCCATATTTGTGTCAAAGATTATTGTGATTTTCTTTTGTTTCCGTGAGTGAAAAGGTGACTGAAAGAAAATCATCGTCAAAATTATTGCCGACATCCAAAGGGCTGTGACAAACGAGCTTGAAGCCTCCAAGTTGAAAATTTCCCCGATTGCTTTAAAAGACTTCGAGAAACGTTGGCAGTTGTGTATAAGCAGCCAAGGCGGCTACTTTGGCTACTTTGATAGCAGCTAGGATAATTACTCGGTAAATGCAATTTTTTATTTTTACGACCTTTGTCCTGGAACTTTTCCGACAAAGGATGTACATGTTTACTTCAGAAGTGAGCTCCCGAACTAAACTTGTAGTATTTTTGAACCACCTCCTAGTTTATTTTATATTTTAAGAATAAGACTGTTAAGAGAAAAACAAGAGAAGCTTATGTTGATGCACAAAGACAAAGAACACACTGAACTGCTATAAATAAGAAATACATTTTTTTAGATATAACAGATAAAAGGAATATAGCATCTATCATTCACACGGCCTTCTTTTGAAAGAATCAACATATATAGTATCGAAAGTAATGAAGCACTTACATTTAAACTATCAGTGAAGATAAAAGGATCTATTTACGCTAATGTACATTGCGCTATATTGATTGAATTTGAGAGAGTTAACCTTTCTTTATACAAAACATTTCATACCTGTAGGTGTTACAACTTTAATACCATCCAATAATAGTGACCGTTTCACTGTGATTTGTAAACGTAACTTCTAATGTAAATATTCAAAGTCAGCAAAATCTTTATCCACTGCAGAACAAAGAAATAGCAAACGTTTCGTTAATTCTGAATGTTTCGTGGACTGAAACAGGAGTTTCGAACGATGTACAGATTTAATTCCCAGAAGCCTGATGATGTTAATAACGTCTTATTGCCATCAAGGGAAATCTTATTATGATCACCTACTAAAAACGACATTATAATTTTAAGCATACAAAGTTTGCAAAATACCCATTACTGCATGCAGAGTGTGCTGAACTGTGGCTTGAGTTTAGTGACGACTTAAGAGTCGTGTAATATACTTTTTAACTAAGAATATGCTTTGTAGTGATCCTATTTTTATACGAGGTGCAAATACATTAAATTCTTCTTTAAAAGTGTGGAGGACCACTGTTCCTAAAACCTGAGAACCACTGTTCCTAAAACCACCGTCCACTGTTCTTAATGTAACGTTTGTCCTAAGCGTTTGACAGTTATCTTTAGTTAAAGCTACTTTCTTGTCCCTTCTAGTTTCAACTTACAAAATTCCTGCCAGAGTGTGTTTTTAGAATCGCGGTTAATGCAAATGAAGGAACAGCGGTACTTAAATCGAAGTTCCACTGACTTCGTTAGAGAGGCAGAGATTCTGACTAGCGCGCGTTTGACTTTTGGCTACACTCTCTCTAAGCTATTACTACGCTTGGTTGTATTTCAGACCTTTGATAGCTTCGCCATTTAGGGGCCAACTCCTTGAGAATTTCGATAGCTTCGGCTATATCTTTTAGTTAAGAATTAGTTAAGTTTGATTTTCTTGTACTCTTGAATTCAAACCCAAGTGGAGGCTTTTCTGTAACGTCCTGAGAAAGGGACCATCTGTTAATTCTTATTTTCAGCAATAAAGGGTAAGTAACCCTTCTTGAGTTTACGTTTCTGTTTCCTGAGCTAAAGCGATTATTTGCTTACCAGTTCTCGAGGTTCCACACACATAGCTGTAAGGCCAAGGTTGGAACCTTATACTAAAACCAGAGAACTACTGTCTACTGTTCTAAAAACCAGAAAAACCACTGTTCTTAAAACCTTGGGAAAAGTGGGTTTGATTCCTTACCTGTGGCTGTTGTAGTAAAAGCATGGTGGTTTGGGTATCTGTCGTTATTGTTGTGGAGGTGGTCGTGGTTCCACTGTCGCTGCTGGTGACAAGGATAGATGTCGTGGCCGGTTCACTGGGGCTCCCTCTTGTCCTGCAGCCAGTGGCCGATTCTCGACTCGTCAGCTCGGGGGCTGTGGAAGAAACATAAAAAAATCATCGACACAGTCGGACAAAAACTTATGTGAATACTTCACGGGACTCAGTAAAAGTATAGCTCTAATTGGACAGTTGGAATAGAGTACAGGTAAAAGTATCGGGGACACCAGCGATGTACCATGGGTCAAGTGGTAATCCCTTCCCACACTAACTAACACAAAACCAAATACAAGTTTCATAAGAATTTACATAGAAGGGTTGAGGAATTGAACAACTGAAGCTCTCCAAATGGTTTAGAGTTTGCCTAGTATGGTACATCGTGCAATCCCATCGTACGCCCCGCATCCAGTATTTATTAAAAATAATTATTTAGGACATAGCGATATTACAATATAGTCTGCATACAATTTGAAATTCGCAAAATTAAATTGAACATCTGTTTCGGTGCAGCAAAAATAAGAGATAAACATTATTAGTAAACAGGTAAACAATGAGACTACTGGAAACACAATGTGATTATGAATTGTAATAATAATGCTAAAGAGGTGGGTGTCCGTGGGTTATTTCAGATAAAAAGGTTTATTGCAGTTTATAAAGTTCAGGAGTCATAAAAACTTTCCACCAATGAAAAAAAAGTATTAATGTACCTTTGTGGGAAAAAAGAGTTTACCAAACGCTTGCGAATTGAGCGTACACACTGCAAATATAATAATTCTTTAAAGTTCATCAGAATTTTTCTTTATGTTCTTAGATGCTCAGTTCTAAGTATTGTTTAGTGTAATTTCCAGTGGATATTTTAGTGTAATTCTCAGCATAATTTGTTTAATGCTTAAAGAAAGGTTACGCTTTGAAGTTTAGAGAAGACGTATTTTAACCTTTTCTTCATGTAAATAAATATTATGGATTGTTTTGGTATATTTTGTTAAAAATACAGTAAGACGTTTTATGATTAATAAAGGAGATAGATTCAGTTAAACAAAAACGTGCAGTATAGCATATCAGATAATTCCAAAAACAAAGGCGTTCATTCGAAGCTCGTTTTCTCTACTGTATAATGCAGGGTTTATGAACAATAAAACTTCATTACCATTGAATATTCATTTTGAAATAGGTTACACAATAAATACTAAAAATAACTGAATAACTGAGAAGATTCCTCTGTATTACAATATATTAGGATTTAAGGTTAGAAAAATTCTGTTATTTTCCCAAAAGCCAAGCTGCAAATGGTAATAATTCAAACAAGGTTAGCACAAACGATTCGTTCGTTTTGAAAAGGCTACATTTTCAAAAGAATTTTACGTACACACATGAAATATACATGAAAAGAAGCACAAACTCACCAAGTTTATACACCCTCTACAGATATTAAGTACGTGCCCCACTGGTGATACGACACACGTCCAGACGATAATAGAGGTAAGTCCATACATTATGCAGCAGTGTTGTCCACATGTTCGTCCTGTCAATTGAGCAGATGAACCGTATCGTGTGTAGCTCCTGCAACCATCAAAGCCGGAGGATGGCGCCCATCGACTAAAGCTTTGTGTCAACATTGGAGGATGAAGATTTCGCCACCAAGATGATATTCAGCTATGAAGCAACGTTTTACTTATCCGGTAAACTTGGTGAAACACTGAAAAAAACTTGGTGAGTTTGTAGAGACATTAGGTCATTTTTTGGAGGCAAGCAGGCAAGGTGAAAACTTAGCAACGCCTTCGCCGGGAATCGAACCGTGGACCTCTGTAATACGAGCCCAGCGTGCAGACTATCACACCACGAAGGCATGCCAAGAAGATGGAAGAAATACCTTAGAAGTTTCTGGTTCTTTTCATACATGTTTCCTGTGCGTACCCGTAATAGTTTTGAAAATATAGCCTTTTAAAAATGAGTGAATCATACATGCTAATCCTGTATTATTTTCAAAAGATTTTTTAGTGATATAAATTTTTAAAACATGTATATACCTCAAACAAAACAAAACATATTGATGCAGTACATATATAAATGGGATGTATAACAAACTTATAAATAACTTAAGATTAAACAATGCTTATATGTTACTACGTTAATACGTTATGTGTAAAATTTCATAGAATTCAGAATTCCACGAATTAGATTTAAATTTATTACCGAGATTAAAACAGAAATACGTACCAATAAGAATTTTTTAAAGGGCCAAAAAGTTTTGTGTTTTATACAATAAATACAAGAAAAACTTTTAAAAACTGTAATCATTTATTCCTCAATCATTTCAAAAGGTATAAGTAACTTACGGCTGTATGTGGAGAGTAACAGATCTGCTAACCACTGGTATAACTTCTCAGGGGCAGCGCAATACATAGATTTGCATCCGAAGTCCGAAGGACTGATTGAGGATGGTTCTGAGAAAGGAAGTACCCATAAGAGTTAATACGAATATTCGAACGGCATGCAATAGGTTACCAATCAAACTGAGTAAAGCATTTCGCCTAAAAGTCATCATTTTGCATGTCCTGAGCTGTTTATTTTCCGAAATACTACGATTAAATATTATGTCAAGCAACAAGTTTTATTTCTAATAATATATTTTTTACTTCCTTGTACGCAGTATAAAGGAAGCATTGTAACCGCGAAAAATTTCGGGTATCCTATTTCAACGAAAATATCCAATTCGACCGCTATCGAATGCAATTTGGCGATGTTTTTGCGTGACATCTGTACGTAAAGACAGACTAAAGGACTCTTTTCCCCCCTCAAAAAATTATAAAACTGCTGCGTCTGTACGTACGTACGTATGCATGTCGCATAACTGAACAAGTAGCCTCATAATGTTGAAATTTTGTATTAAAACATTGTAGCAATACATCAACCACAGCCATTCCCAATAATTAAAATAAAAATTTCGGGCATTTAGAATCTGCGATTTTATGTTTGAAGACTTTTTCAGATTCGTAAAATTAAAAATAAAATTAAAAAAAAAAAAAGAATTTGAATGCTTTCAGATATTACATTACGCCCAAAGGGGCATTTTTTAACGTTTTGTGTGCTACCTTTATTGATTAAATATCATGCTTTTCCCACTTAAACCATAAAATTCAATTCAACAGGTATATCGCAATATAATTTAAAAAGATCTCTATGTTTAGAATTTCCGATACACAGTCACGTGGCCTGGAGATAAAAATGTGTTTTGTTCCGTACAGTATTGCTATTGCTAGTTTTGAAATCGTTAAGTTTCCTAACCAAAAACTCATAAATGCTTTACAAAATATGAAATAGATAATAAAACAAATGCCAAATTAGGACTTCCACATGTCCATATTTCGGGTGGAGACGTATATTATTCAAAATTGGACAGCTGTAGGTACCGTTGTTTTATCACAAAGGGAGAAACACACATACATTTATGCAGATTCCTTATTATTTAATTTCCTTAAATATAATACAGGGCGACAACATTCGGTGGCAACAATTTGAAAAGTGATACAGAATTTTAAAGTTTCGACGCAAAATGCCAAAATTAAATTAATAGCCGTTCTGGGTAACATTCTTTGAGCTATACACAAAATAATGAAACATAAATCTAATGAACCATTTTTTTCAAAACTTTTATTCATATTCTTAAGGTAATTGTTATCTATAAGTTATTTATGCGTAATTATTTGTATCATAATTATGCTGTATATTATAAAGAAAAATGTAAGAAGTCGATGAAGGAAAACATTCTTTTAAGAGGGGTTGATGCAAGAAAAGAGTTGGGAATCCCTGTTTTAGAATAATAGTTTCTCTTAGGCTCTTTTGCTCATTTTTCTGGCATAAAATGTACAACAGTATGAACGGCACATTATTCTATAATTAAGTAACTTTTTATATTATATACAATGGCAAAATCCTTCTAAAGATTCCATTTGATCACGTTATGACTATGCTTTTTTCCAACCTTCCCGCCCCCGTATCAGCAGTTCTTTCACAGGTATTGCTTTTTTTAGTACACTGGTATTTGGGATTCTGTGCATAACACAGGCGAAGGGTGCTAATAAAGACATTAATAATTCAATTTGAATTTAAATTTCATGTACGAGATCATTAAGTTTACTCAATTAATTTATGAAAGTGATATTCTCCATGTCAAAGGTACATAGCTTATAATTCATTATTGAGCAGTTTGGTAAATTTTACAGCCGAGATAAATAAAGCAAAATAAATTTTTTTCTCGGTGGTTTACAGAAATTACATAATGCGTAACAGCATCTAATTCACTTATATGAAACTTACATAAAATCACTGTGTAAGGTATATTTTAATTTTATAACAGTTATTTTAATTTCAGAGTCCTTTCTGTCAATTCTTTTTTCCACTTACAACTCCCTATCATGATGTGTTTTAGAATCGCGTTGAATGCAAATGAGTTAGAAGAAGTATTTAAGGAAGGTTCAATTTACTTCGAGAGACAGTGCTAGGAATCCTGAGTAGCGCGCGTTTTGCCTTCGGGCTAAGTCTCTTGAAGCTGTTACGCTCGGTCGTATGGTACGTGGCTTTTGATATTCGTCGGCTAGTTTAAATTAGAGGGGCAACTACGTTAGATACTCGTGTTTAGCTTCGACTAAGTCTCCTCTAGTTAGCTATACTTTGGTTTCTTATTTCTCATTCAGAGTTAAAGTCCGAGTAGAGGCTTTGTTGTAAGCCTGAGAAAGGGCCCAACTGTTATTCCTATTTGATTGAAATAAAGGCTATTTTTTACCCTTCTTGAGTTATGTTTTAGTTGTTTGAACTCAGCGATAAATCGCTAAACAATTCACTAAGTTTGTAGAGATATTAGGAATTTTTTGGAAGCAGGGGAGATGAAAAATGAGCAGTGCTCTAGCAGGGCCTCGAACCACGGACCTCTCGAATACGCGTTCGATCTTGCTGACCACTACACCCCGAAGGCATGCTAAGAAGGCGGGAGAAATAACTTATAATTTCCTCCACGATCATCTTCTTAGACAAAAATAGTGAAGAACCGTACAACTGTGACTTAACACATAGAAAATTCGGGGGAAGGCACCCATATCATCAGCTGCATACGTTATTACATCGGGAAATGAAAATACTTCATCATTCGATTTTTTACGAGATGCAATTATAGTATTCCTACACTGAGGCAAAATGACTGGCATTTTGAGAAACAGAGAAGTAAGAGAAATGTTGAAGGGTAAAGCTTCGCTTGTAGAGACATTAGGTATTTTTGGAAGCAGGCAAGATGAAAAATTAGCAAACGCCTTCGCCGGGAATCGAACCGCGGACCTCTGGAATACTCGCCCAGCGTGCAGACCACCACACCACGAAGGCGGGAAAAATACCTTACACCCTAAGGAAAATACTTGAAATAAATTTAAACCTCGCAATGCAGAAACGAAATCTTAGATTTTGGGTAGGAGTATTTGATCCATTTCCAGTTAAAAAGAAAATACGGTTTAAATTGCTTTAGACGTGGAGAAAGTTATAAATAAAAGAATGATGTAATGATGTATTACGTAAAATTCTTTACTGAGTGAATACTTACAAATAGTAGATTTTGCAATAAACGACAAAATTCATAGTTAAACAAACCATTACGCGATTTTGCTGATGATTTTATTCTCCAGGGGCTTCAACCAAGTGGAGAATGGTTTTGAATAGTGAGCATTAACGGTAAGATGGATGACACATACGATTCTTGTCCTTGGAATTTCGCCCTCCCGAAACCAGCCAAAACACGGCACCTGCCAAGTCAACCTTGAGGCGAGAATAGAGTAGGCTGTAAGAGTTCCATTCTAAAAATAAACTGTCGACACCAGAATCGATTCTCAGTGACGTAATAACTAGAGGAGGAGTTGCTATTTCCAGCCTCTTGACGTCAAAAAGTTTTGTGCGTAAGTTTCGATTCTTCATCTAATGGGAGACCATGACGTCACTGGGTGCTATAAACAAAAGGGGACCGATGCCAAAAAGCCTATACGCAATTCGGAGCTCTCAAATTTTAAGATGTTTTGGCCAGACTCCAAATATGATGTACAGGCTGTACATCATATTTGCTGACGTAACTTTGAGAAACACTGAAATCAGTTCAGAGTGAAATGTTTACAACAGGTTTCACACAAAAACACAAAACAAAACTCATTTGGTGCAGTCTGTCGCATAAGAAATTGTTTTGTATGTAAAGACAAAATTAAGTTATTTGTGGTGTTTAAATTTGTGGTGTTGCACTGGGTGTGTTTGGAAGACTGGCTAGTATATCAGAACTCACAAATATATATTTTGCATTTTTTTTAGTAATAAATATTACAACATTATTTACTCAGTAAAAATTTGCTAGAGCACTTAAGAAAATTCTAGTTAGAATTTGTTTTTTCTGGATCTACTGATGGATCTTTTGTGGAATATTTTATGAGCTTAATTAGTTTCCCAAGGAGCATACTTCGCACAGTATCTCATCGACCCGTTCTACGAGTGTACACAATTGTTGCTGGCATATACAATGTATTAAAGGTAAATTAATGATAAAGGGCAGAATATTAAGAAGCTTATTAAATGGTATTTCTCAGTATTAGTATCATCTCAAAAACAAGAAAAAAAGAAAAAGAAAATCTGAAAGGTTTCATATTTTAAATTACGTCCAAAGGGGTATTTTTTTAAAATTTTGTGTGTTCCCTTTATTTATTAAATATCATGTTTTTCGCATTTAAACCATAAAATTCAGTACACAGCAATATCGCAAAATAATTTTAAATTGAGAATTTTTGATACACAGTCTGGCGCGCTGGAGATAAAAGTGTTTTTTTCTGTACAACGTTGCCACAGCTCGCTTTGAAATCCTTGAGTTTGTTAGTAAAACATTAAGGTTGTACAAAATATGAAATCGATAATAAAACAAATTCCAAATTTGGGCTTCCAAATGTCCATATTCGCAGTAGGATAACGTTATTCAAAACTGGATGTCTTTAGGTACCGTTGTTTTATCAAAGTGCGAGAAACATACATACATTTATGCAGATTTTTCATTATTTAATTTCTTCAAATATAATACAGAGCGATACTATTCGGTGGCAACAGTTTGAAAAGTGAAACGGGCATTCAGAGTGATTCGACGCAAAATCGCAAAACAATATTCTCTCAAGGACAAAGCCCCTTTGGACTAAAAACTGTAAATAAAATATAAAGGATAAACTTAATATAATAAAATTGATTGAAATAATTTTGATCACCTTAGTAATTTAAATTGCAAATAACAAAACATATGCAGATTTAAAAAAAAACTATTTATTGTGAAAAGGAAATTTTTTTAGCTCCAGAACTCCTACTTCAGATAAGATATTACTCTTAACAACATCACGATTTTAATAAGGAAAAGCTCCCTTCACATAGTATGCCGTAACTGTTTCCACCCGCGCGTACAGTGAAACGTCATAAGAGACTGCCTGATCGATCAGCGTTAGAAGCCAATCACCGTTTAGGGGAAAAAGAGAAAACACGCAATTTACGTCACCACCGACGTCACAGCAAAGCAGCATACAGCTGAGATTTAAATTTTATGGTATGCGGTTTACCGCACGCGCTGCGAATCGTTTAATATTTGAATACCGAATAAATTATGCATTAAACTAGCTTTAAAACAACTATTATACAAATTTTACAAATCAGTGTATTGTAGAATGTTTATTAATACTATTAATATTTCTTTTTTAAATCCATTTATCTATCGCAACGTCTTAAAACTACCAAAACATGAATTCCAATTCCGTTTGAGATAAAATGCCAACAAAACTTGGAATTAAGGAAATCTGGTTTTAGTTCAAGCAGATTCTGTGTTTTATATGTATAACACTCCTAACATGCATTCAAAACTGATATATAATCATGTACGGGTATATTAATTAAGTATATGAAAACATAAAATATTTTAGAAAATAAAAATTTTATAACAGATTGAGCTAATGCAGTTATTTCGGTATAAATTTCTTCGTTTCAGGAATGGGACAATATTTACACATTTAGATCAAAAATAATATTTCTACAACTTTGAAAGTAAAGCAAACATAAAAAAAAATGCAATTTATTAAGAAGGAATGAATTCCGAATACTGCTTTTAAAAACTCCATACAGCTATTTCAAGTAAAATTTGACATATATGAAGATAAATTCAGAAATTCTAATGTTCTATTCTAAATGAACAAACTTGTTAAATTTTCATAGGAACGATTCATGTTTGTTTATAACATAATTATAATGTCTGGGTTTAATTAATATAAACAATGCATTCAAGAATAAAACTCGATAGTTTCATACTACGAGCAAACTAATATTTAGTAAGTTAATTTAAATACAATCTACATACAGCGACAAAATTTCATAATAATCAGAAAAGTTTTAAATGGTCAATTGCTTAGCATTTGCTGAAAGCATTTTATTCTTTCATAATATATTTAAAATTTGCAAATATCAAACAACCAATAAAAGGTATTAACCAAAAACAGCTGAAGAGAAATTTACCATTACTATTACACAAGAGGAAGATAGCGCTCTGTAACGTTAGCAATTTTAGAAGAGTACCAAGTGTCAACAAGTACTTACATGTAACTACCAGATCGACTTGTACCCAGTTTGGATAGCACAACAGCTGATCCTCATACCCAGAGAGCGGATAATTAACAAAATAGTCCAGTTTGATTGAATCCGTGATGAGGCACAAATAATTCCAAACGTCGTTCACTGTCCAGCACGTGTGTTCGGATGTGGTAGACCAGGAGCTCCGACCGTCTTCACCAATTCACATCCCTTCTCTGTTGTGTCTCACCCGTCCGGTGTTCGCACTCCTATATATTTCCTTCTGCTCTTACGAACGGCAGTTCCCGGGCTCATGACGTATAAGTCTTCTGACGTCATGACGACGTTGCAACGAATGAAAGAGAACTGCCTCTGTACAGGTGGATGAGTAGTGGCGTGTTACGTCACGAGTGACGTCAAAGTGCTTAACCAACAGCAGATCGATGGCAGCGCGTCACACGTTTTCTGTAGCGGTGCGTTCTTGCCCGTTGCCCAGGGAACGGGTGCCCCCACCGATGTTGCCAGATTCCGCATATCGTCTATTTGCAGAAACAAAGGCGCTGTGGATTCTAAAATATCCGGAACACTTATGTGTGTCTTCGGTGCAGTTTTTTGGATTCCGTATCTGTGCCGAGAGCGCCGCACCTGCACTTCCACGAGCTCGTACGTGCTCCTGCCACGCGCTTAAAAACACGTACGCGTGTTTTCAATGATGCCACACTTGACAAATAGGATAAGATAGATAGATAACAAACAGATATTTGCGATTGTACGTGCTAACACAATGATCATAATTTTGAAGCACATTCAAGTTGAGAAACAATTGGCATTATTTTTTCTCACCTGCGATAAGAACAGAATTCCAGTAATACACACGTGCACACACATACAGGGCAATTTCTAATCTTTCAATGTTAGTTACATATACTGCATACAAGACATTTATTCTTCCCGCTCACAATAAGTCTACGCTAATCATTTGTTTTATATGTGTGTATTGTAAGGTTGTAGAGACATTAGGAATTTTTTGAAAGAAGGTTAACATGAAACACGTTAAGTGCCCTCGCCGGGACTCGAACCACGGACCTCTCGAATGCACGCCGAGCATGCTGGCCACTACACCACGAAGTCATGCTAAGAAGACGGGAGAAATACCTTATATACTTCCCCTTTGAAAGGGCGACTGGGGATTAATGGACCTAATTACCAAATCCTGGTGGTGGAGAATCATCATCCACCACCTTTTGTTTAGTTCGGGCGCCACTGAAGAGAAATTAAGAATTTTTTGAAAACCGGAGACATTAAATATGTGCGATGCCCTCCCCGGGACTCGAATCGTCCCGGGTTACTACTTCCTACCAGAATAAGGTTTTAGAATCGCGTTGAATGCAAATGAGGAAGAAATAGTATTAAAGGAAAGTTCAACTTACTTCGTGAGAGAGAGAGAGAGAGAGAGAGAGCTAGGAATTCTAAGTAGCACTCGTTTGCTTTTGGGCTAAGTCTCTCTAAGCTCCTATTACGCTCGACCGTATATTACGTGACTTTTGATAGTTTGCCTGCTGGTTTATATTACAGGCCAACTACATTAGATATATGTTAGCTTCGGCTAAATCTCTTCATTAGCTATAGTTAGTTCTTATTTTTACGCGGAAATGGAGGCTCTGTTGTAAGCCTGAAGAAAGGGGCCGACTGTTAATCTTATTTTGAATTAATGAAGGGTAATTAACCTTTCTTGAGCTTGCGTTTTATGTTCTTTGAACTATGCGGTAATTCACTTGACAGTTCCCTAGTTTCCTCGACATTTAATTTAGAAGAATAAAAGTGAGGAACTCTACAAACTATTATATATATATGTATTCTTCATATTATTACTGTAATATTGTTAAAAAGCGTTTGTTATAACATATTAAAAACTTCAAAAACGATTGTTTTTGATTAAAAAAAAAAAGCTTACACGAATGGTTCCAAGCAACACAATATCAGCAAATGTTTTACGAAAATTGCATTGTTATGAGGTGTGCATATAATAACCATGCGATAACATTAAGCAATAAAAACGCCAACATATAAATATCCAGTTGAATTGCAGTCGATGCACAGCATTAAAAATATATAACGAATTAAAAATACAGCATTAAAATATATACATTAAAAATATATATTATTTACTACTCGAATTTTCAGCTTAAAATTATATGTTTACGAGTTATCTGTATAAAAAACTATTTATTTGAAGCGATGGATATCCGTTTTCTAAAATGAACTAATGTTAATTATTATTTTTTTTTTTTCAATCACTCATATGCAAGGTATTCAATTCTCCACGATATTACCGAAAGAGGCTATCCAGTACAAATGGTAGGTTTTTAATTACAAATTAAAACGCATCAAAATAATATTATATTATAAAGCGATTAAATATAGACGTAAATTAATATGTTAATAGATCATTAAAATGCTAACTAGTAAAACAGCAACATCTACAAGTGTTCTCAATCGTGTGAAAAAGCCTAAAACTGCTTTGCCCCTGTACAGAGTACTTTTCCGCATTAAACGTTATATTGCAGGGAAGCAACATTCACATACATCTGATAAATATTTAACGCGTGAAGAAAAGCTTACAAACAATTTTACGTAAATAAGAAAATCTGAATTTTCCCTAATTTCTAAATTATAATAGACGCCGTTGTAACAGTTGTATCTGCTTCACAATCTTATTTAAAAATTCACTGCATTAAAAAAATGAATTTTATGATTACAGTGAGAATTGCATTTTCAAATTGATGGAAAATGCCGCCCTGGGCGGTATAATAGGTAGCGAAGGGTGACTATTATTCCCTAATTGTATTGTCTTCTTTTGCCCCTCTTTGTGAGTGTCATATCGGTCGTTTCCTGTGACGTGCGCACTCGGCGATGACAGAGTAAAATGACGAATAGGCTCGCCTTTCCCGTTGAATGCTTAGTGAGAAAATGAACAATCATTTGGAGTAGAAAATAGGATAGAAATAAAATTTAATGAATGTATATTATTATAAATATTTCTTTCTTTGTGTCCAAAGTAAAAAATGCTTACATAATAGATAAATTAAAATGATGTAAATTCACCAGAATACTATTTTTAAATGTCAATTTTTTGCTTGACATTATATTTAATAAATTTTAGTAATATATATTACACGTTTAGATTTATAATTACTACGAAAAAGTTTAGGATATTTTCAAAACATTCTGTTCAGAGTTTTTTTTATTTATTTATTTTGCAAATTAAAATAAACTAACCTACATGTATATTTTTTTTAAGGCCAAAATTAAATTTAGCTTTCGAAAAATCAAAATATGTTTTCCTTAAAAGCTGGATACATAAATAAATTTGATTTTCTAGCTAATCATAGCAAAACATGCTAAGGTTTGCTTTCATGGAGGATTTTCCAAATGAAAATGACTATTGAAAATGAATTGTGTTACATTCGCAAAGGTAGAATAAAATCCAATAAAAATTGCTTAAAAATCGAGTTAGAAATGTGTAGATTGTATTGTGAAATGCATAAAACTGGATAGTCAGTAGCATGATTTACATTTATTTTAATGACTTACAGATTTATTAAACTCCTACTATTAGCTCGCATTCCCTATATCTTGTTCAAATTTTCAGTCATTAATAAAATACTTTTTATTCATCCACTCAAGTTCAAAAACTTTTTTTATCTTGTTGTCATGACACTTGATGTTAATACAGTTTTTTACATATTAAAAAAATTTTAAATTTAAAATGAAACTTAACAATTTTTCTTTATTGACCTAAGTAGGAATTGACTTAATTTTTTTTTATATTATTTGTTTTACTATAAACCCACATAAGGGTTTTTTAACGGCATCTAATCATTTTGTTTTTGCTTTGTTTTGATCATCGTAATCTAATACTTTGTAAATGAAAAGTTATCCTATGCTCTACTGATCGTTCTACCACCCAACCGGTAAAATGGTTAGCGTCCGTGCGGCATGTAGGTACACTAAATATGCGGCGAAATGAAATTCCTCTCGAGAGGTTCATGGTAGGGGAAGAGTTCGCTCCTTGCCACGAGGATTTTTGTGGGCTTGGGCTGACTATAGGTCAGACAAGTAAGCATTAACAAAAAAAAAAAAAAAAAAAAAAAAAAAAAAAAACACTAATTGTTTTTTATTTGTTTTTAAGGATGAAGTATAGTTGCTTTACCAAAGTAAACCACATTTTTAATAAGGCTAATTATCAAGAGTTTATCTTCCACAGCTAATAATTATAAATAGAAATACAACTTTGTTTACTTTTCTGAATTCCAAACTATGATTGAGACTCAGATCCAGGGTCTTCTGTACGCAAAACACAACACCAAAGTTCAGCTATTAAAACAGTTTTGAATCTTTACTAATAATTAGGTAAATATTTACTTACCAGTTTTTTTCACATCCCCTTCTATTTGCGACAGCGACGTTTTTGAGTGACATAATTGGTGAGCTGCGTCTATTCCAAAGGTACTCTTTAAAAACATATGGAACGCCTGCAAATCTATGACGTCATCCTTTACATATTCTGTTGCACCACTGGAAATCTACTATCAGCACTTCATAATTTCTGTTTTATCAATTTGGACTTTATGAATTCTCAGTGAATTTCAGTTTGGCCTCGATTTTGATCACAAACTGCGAGTACTTCGCCACCCACTATAGTTCGGACGGAAACGCGTTCCGGCCAAGTGCAATTAGTGCAGTGAAACGCCTACTTCCCAGAAGTCCTAAATTAATCGGAAGCCATTGTACAGCCTGGCTTAGACATCGATGGGCAAACACAAATCTGTCATAATATCTGCTTGATCGGTGACTCGTCTATACCGTTAAAGGCAAAACTGCGTGAAATACATTTCATTTTTAAAGCACTCTTTTTTTTTCTAGTTTTCTAGCCACGTTAGCAGACAAATCAAAACGAAGCACAAATTCTTTTTTTAAGAATTTTAGCTCCTCCCTTCTTCCAGCATGTATGTGCGTAACGGTATGGTGTAACGGTTGTGTAACGGCTAGCACACTCAGTGCGTATTCGAGAGGTCCATGTTCGAGTCCCGGCGAGGGCATTGCTCATTTTTCTTATCTCTAACATAAAAAAAACCTAATGACTCAACATTGGCGCCCGAACTAAAAGGTACTGGATGATGATTCTTCACCACCAGGATTTGGCGATTGGGTCCCCAAACCCGCCCTTCAAAAGGGAAAATATATAGGGTATCAAAAGTGCAGCCCGA